CACAAGAGAGCATGGCTCCTCTCATTCCCTTCAATAGCTTTCTCTGGAAAATGCACGACGTAGCAGCAGCTTTTTCTGTGCAGGAACTGGAAAACAACTCAACAGATGGTCTGGAGAATTTATAAAATTAGAAAAACAAAGCAGCAAAAGGCATTGGCTCAAAAGCACTACTTCTAGACTGTCTCTCTCTTTGACGCAGCTAGTCTTGAAGCAGTTTATGAGCTTCAGCCAAGACAAACACTCAGGTCCATTTGGGAATTTTGCTTCGGAGCAGCACATTAATGCTCTGTAAAGAGATGCAGGGCATGTAGTGGATGTTTTCATTATCAGCAGTCCTAATCATCCCAAATCTTTCTTGTTCACTGTTAGCATACCCTCCTGCCAAGACTGCATCAAGCACAGATGAGCTGTCTTATACAGCGCTTATATTTATCCTGCAGGAAAAATAAACCCTGAGAGAATGGAACCTCTCCTCCAGACAGTGCACCATACAGAAACGCATGGGCTCTCAGAGGTCTTGTCCCTGCCCAGGAGGCACTACCTGTACCCACAGATGGTTTCTACAGCTAACACAGTTCTCTCCTCTAAAGCCTCCCCAAAGACTATGACCAAAACACTGATCCCTTGAGATGGCCAACAAAAAAGAATCATACCAGGGAGCTTCCTGAGCAGATCAACCAATCTCAAAAGTAACAGCATGTTTAGTTAGGGTAAATCTAACACAAGGACCAGTTGTAGGGATGGATTATCCCCATTGATTCTTTGCAGTCAGGCAGATCTGTGATCCTACTTAGCGTGCATTTGCATTTTCTCACTTTTATTACCAAGAGTGAAAATAAGCGGGATAAATCTCCTCACAGAATAAGAGTGAAGAATTAAAAACTGGATATGGTAAAAAAAATCTGTTCAGTCAGAGACTGCCAACTCTTCCATTATTGCACTGGTAATATATAGGTAGCATTAAAGTGGCAAAAATCTTTACTTCAAATAATACTGTGCCACATCACTGTCTGCAGCAGGAATTCTGCATCTTAGGAATTTCAACCTTCCCTCCAAAGCTGCTCTGCATGGCCATGTCCCCATGGTGACTTCTGTAAGGAGCTGGGGTGGTAGCAGCTCTGAGCATCCCAGAGACCTCCCTCAGTTCTGTTAACAATTCTCTCCAGAGAAGCTACAAATAAATAGCACCTTGCTCTAGTTTGCACAGATGGAGAAAGCTGTGATGCTGTATTGCTGCTGCAGACCATTCATTCCAAGATGGGAGCTCTGTGGTAGCTGCTTCGAAGTTACAAATCAGCTATTGCACAGCTTACTGTAGTTGAAAGTTAGCTGCAGCATCCGCTGCTGGATTAAGCACTGCAAAATTGGAGAAACTAGAGTGAAATAGTGAGTTTCACCACCTTCAGATATGTGCTTAATTCTGTTCTGCCACTTTCTCCTGGGGGCTGCCACTAAGGTGAGGACACAACACCTTCAGCTACCTAAGTTTCTTGCTTTCTTGCTGTCAATCTTACTAATGACCAGCTTGCAGTTCCTCTATTTTAGAGAACACATCAGATAGAAACAAATGATGTTGGAGAACAAAGTCAAAATGAGACAAAGCATCTTAAACAAAGGTTGGTTTGTGTTTAATTGCTCTGAAAATGGCATCGAATTCTGCATTTCTGCATTCTAAAATTGCTGTTTCCTATCTGGGAAACACTAACATCACTTTGCATCTGATATCTTTGTCTGGAAAACTGTTGGTAGTGAGTAAAAGACGGTGGCTGTGCTGTTCCCCCAGATGACACAATGAAATCCTTTTGGACTTTTTCAGCTGCTGTTACCGGGAATAACCTCCACCTGCAAATGTAGGTTGGTTGCTTTTATATCTTTCATTGAAGGACAACACAAGATTAGGCCAAGCAGAGGCTGGAACTAACAGTTTTCTCCATGGTGAAAGACTCCTGCACGAGAACATATTCTTGGCAAGTTCAAGTTCAATTCCAAATGTGCAGCCTAAAGATGAACAGACTATGCTACCCAGTGTTGGTCCACATCAGTCCAAATGGTCTTCTAGGAGAGGTGGTTTCCTTCTTTGAGTTGCAGGTTCAGTCAACATGGAGCAGAGAATGAAGGTTAAATCTTTGTACTGGACTAACACTGACAAGTTACACAGAGCATTTTGATATTTCCAAATTTGAGCCACTGAACTCAACATAATCTGGTGAGCATACAACGCTAGAGGCAAGTCATTTTGCTGTACTAGTGGTTTTTATGAGTTGATCTCTGTTCTTATTCCCTGTAAGTTCTGTGGTCCCATTTTTAATAATATTGTTTATTTTCTTGAAAGTGTTTAATTACACTATCAGTTTATTAGATAGATTTGAGCTACTTTTGGCATACAGTCCAAACTGGGATTTTAAGCAGATTTATTACTTTCTATGGCAATTCCTTCAGGATGGGCAGGGCCCAGTCTGAACTTGGTGCCTGATGTTTATTAATATTCTACTATTCTGGTCACAAGGAAGCCTTCTTTTATATATTCTCTCTTCTACTATACTGTAGTAGCTGGGAATTTAGATTGGAAATTACAGAATCATGGAAAACTGGGCTGAGAGAAATCCTGTAAAACTAGTCTATTCCCTTGTCCCATGGTAGACTTTACATTCCTAAACTGCTTCTAAGAAAAGGTTCATTTAACTTAATCTTAAAACTTCAAATGATGGAGACTCCGCAATCTCTTTGGGGAATCTCTTACAGTGTTTTTCTGTCTGGAGGATGGATTTGCCCTCAGCTGACTTTGCTTTATTCTTTGTTGTGCAGCAAAACTTGAAAAGAAGATTCAACACAAGAAAGTGAGACATAGGAAGTAGAAAGGACTTGCAACATCAACAAATCCAGCTCCTTACTGTTAGGGGCAACCATGTCCAAAAAACCTTTCCTGCATACATACAGAGCTCAAGAGTTGAACTGACTGGACTTCTTCCCCAAATGCTCAAAACAAATTCTGCCAGAGAACCTCAGCTTTCTCAAAGTTAAGAATCTCCAATAAAGTAGAACCATTAAATCAAGAGTGTTACAAAGTCTGTGAGATACACTTCTGGGTATATTACATGCAGATAAAAATTTTACAAAGTGCCAGAAAGATTTGGTGGCAAAATCTCAGAAGTAAAAGGTAGATCCCTGCTGAGAATTGAAATCCCTTCTGATACAGATGATGACACTTCTAAATTTCCCAATGTAGTGTTTGAGATCTCATGAAATATCAGCCTTCACCAGGACAGCATGAGATAATCCTAGCCTTCAAGTGAAGTACATCTAAGAAAGGAGAATGATACTGGGTTCAGGAAACAAACAAACATTGTGACTCTTCTAAAAAAATCCTGGAAAAATCATTCCTAGAAGAAGGAGAGAGGCCAGGTGGATTTAATGTCAACACAGAAATAACTAGAGAAAGTTATACTGAATTCAGTAGAATGGGAGAACAATATTTCTGAGCTGAGGATGAAGATGTTAAGACCTGGGAGAAGGGTGTAACTTCTGTGAACCACTACATGTTTAACATGATGGACATCCTAGTCATAACTGGTGCCTCGGACAGCATTTGCCAACTCCTGTGTATTAAAGCATTCTTCAAGATGCAATTCCATGTACTAATGTATTGTTGAAAATATATTAAAAAAAAAGGCATGAGTTGCCTCTCTGTGTTTAGGTATCTTCATTACTCTCCTTATGATGTGCCACTGAATTTAAATCCTAAGAAAAGACCCAAGTAATTTTAAATTATGAAGGTTGATCTGAAAGGAATGCCTCCTATTTTATTATATTTGCCTACAACTTTAGAGGTGGATGGTGGTGGTATGGCAGTAGAGTTCAGACCTTCTCACCAATATTTCATTACATTTTGTTGCTGTATGACAGATGGTAGCTGAGGGGCAGCCTGACAAAATGGTGTCTGACATGGAAGCGTGCTTGAAGAAAAACTATGTAATTAAATGCCTTCACTCAGAAGAAAACTGCATCCACTGACATTCATCAACTCTTGCTGAATGTTTATGGAGACCAAACAGTGGATGTTGGCATAGAGGTGGTGGGTGGTGCATTTCAGCAGTGGCAACAGTGTCAGAAGGTCACATCTGCTGGTACAGATTTTTATGAGTGCAGCATTCAGGCTCTTGTCCATTACTGGTGAAAATGCATAGCTAATAATGGTGACTTTTTTTGCAAAACAGTCTTTTGTAGCTGAGAATTTTCTCTATCAACTGCATTATTGTCCTCTTTGTATCTGTTATAGTTTCCATGAAAATAAATAGTAGTCATTACTTTCAGAGCGATCTACATATGTGAGGTCAGAAACTTTGTCCTTGTCCCACAGCAGCTGTGACAACTCACTTGGAGGAGTCTGTATCTTACTCTATGATACAGCTATACTAGCAGAATGTCATGGCCCAATGGACTGGACAACACCTTCAGACAGCACCTGCTGAGGTACTGAATACTATCAATGAAGTCTTAAATTCCAAACTAAATTAAGCCGAACTAGCACTGAACCACAGTCTTCCCAGAAGAAACATTTTTTTTCCAAGGTTCATAACTCAAAATGAGTCATACTTGATTAACTTTACTTGGGCCAGGAGACTAATCATGGGATGCTATTTCTATTCCATTTTAGCAAAGTCACAGCAAGCATCAGAATGACGTTCAGCATGGAATAGATTATAGCCTTGACATAGTATCACCACTACACCATAATGAAAACAGAACTAGGAACCTTCTCTATTAGCAAAAGTTGCTGTTTTTTCTTATTTTTTTATTATGTTCTAATATTTGGCATGTCTACTCTCCAGTGAAAAAGTTATTAAATACATGTGAGACTCCAATCCAGAGAGCAACTGTCCTGCTCAGTTCTTGGTGGGGTAATAGATCAGAGAGTTTCACCTCCTCCTTCTCCTCACAGCTGCCCCGCACACATGCACACACACACAGAGGCCAGGAAACTCTACACCTATAGCACCTACCTTGGGTTTGAAGGCAATTAACTTCAGGACCATCTCGACAGTGAAGAGGCCAGTGAAAAGCATGTTGAGGATGTTCATGGCTTCCTTGAACATGCAGCTCTGACCGTAGTGCTGAAAAACATCATCCCAGCAGCAGTGAGGAATGGACATACCAGCTAGTCATGTACATGCATGGCTACTGCTAATCTTCCTCCATATCAGAGTTCTTGAAAGGAAATCCCACTATGTTCCATTTAAAAAACAAAATTATAATTCCCATCTCCCTTCAAATAAGCATTTCCATACCTCTAGCCATTTTTGCCATCTGACTCTGACTCTCATCTCTTTTTAAAAATGTCACACTTATCATTCCAACTGAGGACTCATTAAAAATCTGCATAATGATACAAGGCAGTTTGCAGTTGTGTTTATCTCACCTTTCTCTAACACTTGGATCACTTTTTTTGTTTGATTGCTGTTGTGTTGTGAATGGAAGTTTCACTGCGCTGTTCATAATGATACCAAGCCATTCCCCAAGTAATTGCATTTAATTCAGGACTCTACAAATACATGAGCAGCTCAAATCATATCTTTCCAAAAGACATTATCTTGCATTTGTCAATTTTGAATTAAATTTGCAATCATGCTGGCTATTCACTTAACTTTATTAAGATCTTATGAAGTTACTCTCTATCATCTATTGATTAATTCATATATTGTCTCCTGCAGATTTTGCCACCTCACTTTTCATATCCCTGTTTCCAGATCTTTACACTTGGGACTGATTGCCTTGCTCAAAGGTTGTCTTTCAGTTCATGTTCCTCTGTTGTTGCTTAATTCTGATAACTTTAACAACTTGGGCTGAATTCTCATAATCTGCAATAGCTCAGGATGACTTTATTTGAAAGGAGCTTCTGTTAAAACAATTCAGCTGCTGGCCAGGGAAAAAGTACATTGTTGAGGTGTTTTCAGAATTTATTGTGGCATTTCCCTTGTGAGATTCTAGTATCTTTAGGACTTAGAAACTTGGAATTTTACTTGAATGTGGCTTTTGTGTCAGCTGTTCCTTATGAAGTTTGAGCAATTACGACCATAAGCTTTTGAAAAACTACACTTTCCTTAGGATGGGTATAGGCTTCCTAGAATCTCCAGAGATGCTGTCCTGTCTATGGGCTCACAAACATCTCACAGCTTCTAGCTCCATCTGCTCTTTGTGTGCAATGTAACCAATGTTACAGAAGCTGAGCACGCTCCAGAACTTGAGACTGAACATAACAGTCCTCTGTTGCTTCATGACACAGCAAAACAGTAGATCCTACAGATGAGAGCAGAGTGGGACCAACTCAAAATGAAAAGGTAGTCAAGGGAGATCTTAAGCAAAGAGTTGAAGGAATGAGCCAGAAAAGGGCAGACTTCAGGAAATGTACAGAACAGATTGTGTCTCTCTTAAGCCTCATTCTCTGACTGAAATGAACATGGAATTTTTTTATTAACTGACCACTTGGTAAAAGTTATGTCTTCTTCCTCTTCCTTGCTCTTACACCTATACATATTAAACTATTACTTTTATTTGCTATTCTTGGAGATCTAGCTTTGGATATCTCTTTGGAGGATGAGCAGCCTGATCTAATGGTTGGCAACCCTGCACACTGCAGGGGGTTGAAACTAGATGATCATTCTGGTCCTTTTCAACCCAGGCCACTCTATGATTCTATGATTCTATGATTCTATGATTCTATGATTCTATGATTCTATGATTCTATGGTGACAACTAACACTAGTTTTTGAAAACCCTCAAGCATTAAGGAAGATGTATTCTCAGTGTAGTGACAGTGACAGTAAGGCAATCAGTAGCACCACTAGTGAAGTGAGCTAGAGATCATCTATCAAGAAAAGTTTTAGGTAGAATTGATCCCAATTTGCTGTGATGGAGAAGAAAATACAGCCTCTTGAGGTTCTTTCTAGAGAAATTTCTATGATTCTTAACACAGAACAAAGTAGATACCAGAGATCTCCTATGCTCTATTCCCACTTCCATAGAATCATTAAGGCTGGAAAAGACCACTAAGATCAACTATTACAACCATCAACCCATCCCCACCATGCACATGAACCACGTCCCTCAGTTCCACATCCACACAGTTCCTGAACACCTCCAGGGATGGTGAGTCCATACCCCTACTGCCCCCCCACCTCCTTGGCAGCCTGTTACAATGCATCACCACTCTTTCTGAGAAGAAACATGTCCTTCCTGGAGCCCTTTGCCCTTCAGGACTGTCACACAAGGGATTCTCCCAACCCGTGTCCTGAACAGTCTTCCCTCCAGAAGTCCAACGCAGCAGTTTTGCTGACCCCTCTCCTGACTTAACCAAGAACAGAGAACTCTATCACAAAATAGCTTCCGACAACTACATATATCAATCCTTCTCTGTAAATAGCAGATCTAGAGAGATGCCTTCCCTGGTAGGCTTCCTTACCGGCTGTGTCAGGAAGCTATCTTCCACACATACCAGGAATCTCCTAGACTGCTCCTTCTCTTGTATTTCCAGCAAATGTCTGATAAGTGGAAGTCCCCCATGACAATAAGGGCTACTGTTTGCATGACTTCTGTCAGTTGCTTGTCAAATGCTTCATCCTGGTGGTCTATAATAGACTCCCACTGGGATATTAGCTTTGTTGGCCTTCCCCCTTACATGTACAGACTCAACCTTATAATTAACAGCACTGAGCTCTACAACATCAAAAGAATCCCTGACATACAGAGCCTTGATTGCTTTGTTTACCAACATATTTGCTCCCTATTTTTTAACATAGAAAAGGCCAAAACTGAAAATTCAGATCTCAGGTGATTGACAGTTCAGGGTTTATTCTTGCACTTCATAGAGTACAAGTCAGATCTGAGAAATCACTTGCATTGTACAATTCCTTTAATCATGTTCCTCTCCCACTCTCCCTCAACTAATGACGTGAAAGCAAAAGTAGGTCCCAATCTCTGTAATTTCTAAATTTTCCCCAACAAAGTCTAACAATTCATCACCTGTGAGGTTTTCTACTTGCTTACTTACTTGCATGGCCAGACAGATGGTGTTCAGCAGGATCAAAACGAACATCAGGTATTCAAAATAGGTGGAGTTGACCACATACCAAACTTTGTACTGGTACTGGTTTTTTGGGATGTATCTCCGCAGGGGCCGGGCCTTCAGGGCATACTCTACGCACTGGCGCTGTGAAAGAGATATGGTATGTTTAAAAATCAAAAACAGAATACAAGGTTGATTAGCTACTTCTAGATATTATAAAAGCACACGTTTCCATTTATTTTCTTAAATTACTGCTTAGAAGAAGAATTTCTTTTAGGTCATAAAGAGAATGTGTATGTTCTACCTGTTTTAGACATCCATATGTATTTACTTTGGACAGAGAATGCTCATCTAATCTCACTCAGCCAAACTGCACAGCACATATTTTAAAGTAAATATTTTCATTTGTGCAAATCTTGCAGAAAGATTTTTTTTTACCTGATTCCTGAAAGATGGCAGTGAAGCCAGCTTAACGATTCATCTTGTTGGCATTTCCACATGTTACTCTCTGTATATATTTATCTCTTAAATTCTTATTGTCAATGCATTTCTATCTTTAGAGGCAGTAAGCGGTCATGAATTACCTGGTTTTTGTCCAGCTCACAGTTCTTGTATTCTTGTTCTCCTTGTTCCTGAAATGTGACGATGACGAAACCAACGAAGATGTTCATCATGAAGAAAGCAATGATGATGATGTAGATAATAAAGAAGATGGAGATCTCAACCCTGTGATTATAGATGGGTCCCACATCCTCCATGTGGGAATCAATGGACCTATACAGCAACCTGGAAGCAAACAGGAGCCCAATGCAGAGAAAATCTGCAGCTGTCATGAGGCCTTACAGGTGATGTTATAAAACTCATCTGTGTGTTTTTTTCCTACTTGTAGCAAAATTACTTCATTCATAGATGCACTGACTTGCACTGATTTGAGTATAAACTCTTGCAAAAAAGAGGACACAACTTTTATTAACTTAATACATTTGAACCTGGTCAGGGTCAAGGGTAAAGTGTATTTCTAATTGAACAATAAAAACTTAAACAGCAACAACAAGAAGCATGCCCTTCAGTTAACAGAAGAGTCTATGTTGTTGGGAACTGAGTTTTGTGAGAAAAAAGGATCTCGACACTTTTCATTTTTAACTTTTGTTAATGCTGCTGTTGGCATCACCTGGTGACACAGTTCAGGGACAAACCCAGGATACCCTAGCACACCTATGTCAGTCTGACTGAGTGAAACCAAGGGTATCCTTGGTCTCTGTGACATAGACGGGACAGCCTGGTGAGCTATCTTGTGTCTACCTGTACTGCACATCTAGCACTGGTGGATTTCATAACAGCCCACTGGCTCCATAGGAAACTTTTAACACTTACCAATATTGAGAAGTGCCTGACAGGCATTTTTATCCCTCTATATACACAGTATTTGTAACAATTATTGTTACTATTGCTGCTGTTGGCAATAATTTCTTAAGAGCTACAGACAGCGCTGTAAGCTGTTAACAAGCACAAGAACTGCAGTTCATGCAGGACCTGAGGAATTTACAAAGCTCATAATACCACAATGACTGCTGCTACTCTTGCTACGTTTAATGCTCTAAAATTTTTAAATACTTAGAATGGGAAAGACAGTTCTCTTCATTTGAATTTTCTCTTTTGAAATGAATGAGGACATTAGTAGTGAAGCATTGGACCAAGAAGCACTCACTCTGGCCAGCCCTCAAAGGTTGAGACAGTGAAGAGGGCCATCATGGCAGTCAAGACATTGTCGAAGTCAAACTTGCTGTTCTCCCAGCTCCGGGGCTGGATCATTGGCTGACTGACCTCACCATCCTTGTATGTGATGTAGTATCCTCTGTGGGTGGAAAGGAGAGAGGGAACATGGCAGAACTGCACTTCTGGTACCTGACCCTGAGAGCAGGTGGCCAGTGAAAGGGGCTAAGTGGGAAAGGTCAGACTCACCTGCATTCTGCTTCAGTCTGCTTGGAGCTGTCAGTGCAGCTGTAGAGTTTGCCCTTGAAGAAGAAGAAAGAGGAATGAAGCTTCCTTTCTTAACAGTGGAAGGGGTAGGGTTGATCATATACCAGGGAGGCTGCATTTACTATTTGCTTAACTGCTATGGGTATGTTTACATGCTCTTTTGCAGGCAGATGTGAATGAACTAGACCAAGAGTTGCCTGTGTCTGGGTACCTCAGAGCACAGATTTTCATTGGCTTGCACAGTGTTCTTCTGTGTATATCCTGAGGTATATGTGCACTAAGTGCTGCTGAACACTGATTGTCAGAAGGGTAGTGAAGGGCAAAGAAATAAAAGCAGACCTAAAGAACAGAATGAGTAATCTCCAGTGATTACCACTGGATGCATGCCCCCTCTTCTGCAAAATGTAATGTAGACAGCCTGCAATTACCAGTCCTTTAGAAAAGCCCCTTTCACCTCTGTCACTAAGTCATGCCACAAGCAATTTGGAGAATAGGGTTACTAATGATTTCTTACCATTACAGATGAGTTGCAACAGTTCTGAATATTATTGACCCAGTTTTGGTAACTCCTGGTAGTAGGAGACCAAGTAATACTAACAGTGCCCCATATTCTATCTCATATGGGAAGATTCTATCTCCCCATCCTCAGGGTTTTTCATGATATTTATTGTCCCCTGCCCAGAAAACACCTCAGTGTAATGGATGAATGAATGGGTCAAATGGTTTTACCTTAAACAACTGAACTCCAATGCAGGCAAACATGAACTGCAGCAAAGTGGTGACAATCACAATGTTTCCGATGGTTCGGATGGCAACAAACACACATTGGACCACATGCTGCAAATGGAAGATAGGAACAAAAGTAACTTGTAGGACTGTTCTGAGTTGCTATGGTTAGAAATGAAGCCCAAGACTATAACAACAAATACAAGAATTTCAGTTAGCTATTGCCCACTAAGTAATGTCTCAGGAGAAGGGAGAGAAAACCAGTGTGTAACTTTTATCACCCTACTCTTCAAAGCAGACAGAAAGAGTCAGTAAAATACCAGAGCTCAGCTCTCTGAAATGTCTGGTTGCACAGCCTTACATAGTTGGGCACTCACCAGCACACATGAAGAGATTTAACTAATAGAGCAAGGCTTGTGAGCCCATCTGCAACCCTATAGAAAATGACATAATTTAACATTAGTGGTGGTGCTTAAACACTATCTGAAATGTCACAAAAGTCCTTGTAGCCTGAAATAACTTGAATTGGTAATTTGCAGAAGGCATCGGGATTCTTCTAACCTTTAGTCCTTTGGCTCTGTTGATGGCCCTCAGTGGTCTAAGCACTCGCAGAACACGCAAAATCTTCACCACATTGATGGCACTGGATCTGGAAGAAAATATCAGGAAGTTTGAGAGAGACAAAAATATAGTGAGTGTGCTGCAAGGACAGATAGATCTCACCCACTCTTTCTTGTCGGAAATCCTACATAACCTTAGACTGTAGACAACTACAGTCAATTATTTGCTACTTGCTGTGGCATCTCAGGGGTAAGAAAATCATTCTTGTGTCACCTTCATAGGTCTTGCTTCCTGATCTGGGCAGCCTTAGTATGCATTCTCCTGGCTTTCACCAGCTATGCTGTGTTAATGAAAGGAATGGAATATGGACAGGAATTTTTTAATAAGCAGAGCAACTAGCAAAAGTACTCTGTAGCTATCTAATGGAAACTGTGCCAAGATGTAGGCACCACAAGACATTTTCAGGTAAGTCTTAAATAAGCATTCTGCTGAAATATTCATAGAAGAATGGACAGTCCAGATGACTTGGGCATTAAAGTACACTGCCCAGGTAAGGTGTGATCCTGCAGCATGTTTGGCCTCTGATTCTGCAAAGCAATTAAATGTGTATGTAACTTTATGGATGTGATAACTCTCACTGAACAAGATGACCTATATGCTTAATTTTAACTGCTGAACACAACTACATGCTACAACTACAGAGCTTTTAATCTTCCTAGACTAAAACCTTGACTGAAAGTCTTCTCCATGCTGGAGGATGTGAGGTCCTTCTACTGATTTTGAGAACAGTTTTTTTTTGCAAACACATGAATAGTCTAGTTAGAGCTGTAGGAATGAAACAGGATGTCAAAATGTCTTCTGTGCTATTATTAAGACTTGTACTGAAAGCCGAGTGGTCCTGAAAAATCCTTCTGCTTGACTTACTGAGCTCTTAACGTATCATACATGAGCTGCTAACCTGTGATGAGAACAGGGACCTGATTTTTTATTAAGCTTAGGAAACTTTCAATCCAACACAAACAGTTCCACATATTCAAGAGAATTTGTAAATTATTAAGAAATTTAGCAGATAACAATAAAAAATGTATTCACAGAAGTGGATTCAACTGCCACTGCCACCAGTACTCCACACGTTCTTGCACTGCTCTTAAGTCACTTGGTCTTTCACTGACCAAGACTCACAGCATACTAGGAAGTAGCAAAACACTATCACCCTATTCTATAAAGAAATAATGAGATGGAACAGTAAGTCACTTAACTGCCCTGATCTGACAAAGTGACTCATACATCTTGGAACAAAGCTGAGTGTTATAATTCCCAGTGGACCAAATTTCTTGTTCTCATTTGATCTTTCAAGAAGATCCTCTATCCAGATCATTGGCATAGCATTTCCCAGCCATTAGAACCCCTCCCGAGAATGAGTTTTTATTCCTCTTGAATCATCTGAGAAAAGTATCTTGAGGCTCATGAGAACAATCTTACCCAGATGAAATGATGAGATTGAGGTACCATTTCCCAACCCTGCTCTACCATCCCCCCAAAACAACCAGTTGAAAATAGCTCACTCACTGGATTCCAAAAGAGATGAGAGAAACGCTGACCACCAGCAGGTCTAAGATGTTGAAATAGTTTCTGCAGAAGGAGCCCTTATGGAGGAAAGCCCCGTATGCGGTCATCTGCAGGAAGGCACATGAAGACACAAATACACTTTGCCATTAGCATCTGTTCAGAAACCAAACTCATCTGGTTGAGCTCAGAATATATATTTGGGTAGGAGTGGCATTTCTAACATAGCAGACTATCTACCCACAGACCCCAAAGGAGAATTTGAGTCCCCATGGAAAGAAGAGAAGATGAAGATGACAGTAAGATAACTACGAAAGACCTAACTAGGGAAAGCCAATACTAGGTTTAGGGAGGAAAATATGCACTTTGAGTGCATAGAGTACATAAAATTTAGAATCAGTAAAGCAGTAAAATAATTGTTTGCAAAAACTACTCCTTGCATTTATATGAGTTTCCCTTTTTCTTCAGTGGCAGAGGACACTTGTGAGTATTATACTAAGTATTATCTAAAGGCATCTTTAGCTGAACTGACTAAAAAGCATGAAATAGAAAGGGCTCTTTTGTGATGCTTTTTAATGCACAGCTGCATGGACAGTTGAGCTCTCTTCCTTTTATGGAAAAAAAAAAAAAAAAGAATTCCTAAGGGATTTAATTTCTTTAGAGCTGAAGCAAAGCATTAGGCGGAATTTCTGTTCTCTTCAGTTTGCTCCTTCTATTCAGTTCAATCCTACATCCTTTTTCCTACCACTAACTAGTTTCTTTCATTTTTTATTTTACAAGAAGTTGCATTTTCTCCTTGGTTTTTCTAAAAAACCCAAGGTAATGTTCCTTGACATAGAGAGGTTTGCTCATGGAGGAAGTCATTATGAACATCATTCAGTTGAGGAAAGGAAAGATTTTATTATTTTACCTGGGCTCTCTACTCTTTCTGGGTACAAAGGGGTATTGAACACTTGCTGGTGCCAAGGAGGATGTCTCAGCTCCAGAACTGGATTAAGTGACAGAAATGTTAATGTTATAAATAGAAATGGGTCTCAGTCACAGTGTCAGATCTAAACACTTCTGAGCTCACAAAAGTAAAGGCCTTGACTTTAAATTTTAGAATGAGCTCAGTTTTAGAATGTGACTAGATGAGTCTGACATGGTGAAAGAGGGCGAGGGTTTATTTTACCACCTACCTTAGCTTCGGTGAGTGATGTAAAATAATTCCTTTGAAGATAACCCATTCCCACAACTGCTAATCTCATTACCTGGGCTAGGAACATGGGCTTCTAAATTTAGTCCTCTGATTCTCATCTAAGTTAGATGTCTATAGTAACCTGAAACAGACACCATGAGACTGTTCCCCAAAGATTGGACTGTTCCAACTGAGAACTGAACAAGAAATTCAACCTGGGTTTTTCTGGCTCCTGTTGATAACTCAGGATGGCACAGCCTCTATTGGTTTCCAGACATGCCTACCTGTGACAACTGCAGTCAGAGAAGAGTGGAAGGGCACATGGTATATCAGATTATTTTTTTCACCAAACATTCATGACATCAGGGAACCAGCTATCAATCAATCAGACAGAACTGAGAGGGGAGGAAGTATAAACTCTCGGCTTGCCATAGAATTTATACTTATAAAGACATATTTGATTGGGAAAGGGGTGGGGGGGTTCTTGCCATAACAAAGGAGGTAAAGGTGCCCTTTACTGGTTAGATTTTGTATGGCAATCTTGAAAGAAAGGAGACACCATTGAAATCAGGAGGGGAAGCTCTACTGAATTTATGTTGTATACAAACTGTGGTTCTCTCAAACTTGTGGAGAGAATTTTTTTTTTACTGAAGAGACACTCTAAGAGTGCATAAACTATGTCTGCCTCCCACTTCGGGCACTGAACAAAGCTCATGATGCCATGTAAAGCCAAGCAATAACTAACTTCAAAACACTGCAAAGTTGTCCACCTTGCTAACATTCATCAGACTCCACCATGGCAATGTGAGTTTTGTGGATACTGCCATCAACATGAGGTCAGATAAAGCTTGTTTCTTCACAGCCTTGACAATCACATAGTCATTTACTCTTCCACTTCTTATTATTTACTCCAGCTTTTCTGCTGTGCAAAAGATTTTGCTTAATTCAAGGCAGCAGAGAAACAGGCCCTGAGAAACCAAGGAAACTGTGAGGCAGAAACTACAGAAGAATTTCTTAAATGTTGGTAGTACTTGCACCTCTCTCCCACTTAGACCTGGAGGAAGTCCAGGGATGCTGAGCTAAATCTTCTCATGTTAACAGGAGGACAATCGAGGAGGCTCGAAAATAGGCACTATGCAGTACACTTCCCTGATGAAAACAGAGCAATATGCCAATGAATTAAGGTATTTTATGCTTTCTCTGAACTCAATGGGAGTGTTACCATTTGCTTCAGTGGTCGCAGAATTGCTGCTGTAATTTCAAACAGGTGGGATGGTGCCCTGATGTAGAAAGCCAAGCACTGAACTATAGTTTTTAAGTGTTGCTGTTGAGATGTTTTCCTTTTTTGACAAGCCTTTTGGTGTGTGCACGTTCACACTTATTGTGTAAACACAGATGCACATGCCACAACAGCACAATATGTATACCTCTTTGGAGAATATTATGGTTTTGGTGATTTAAAGTCATATCAAAAGCATGGCTCTCTACAAAAATATGCACAGGCCACCCTACTTGCCAGCCTCCAGATTAGACACTGTTATTAGGGTCTTCAGCTGCAAGATCTGAGCAACTCGAGGTTGCTGCCTGCCAGCACTTAGCACCAGCTTGTTGAGAAAAAAAACAAGCTGCCAAGCAAACCTAGCATTTAGAAAGCCAGAACTTTGCTCAATTATTGTTATTTAAATTATTAGCCCACAAATTTGGGACAATTAGAGTTAAGAACAAGGCAGCCTATTTTTATTTTCTTCTGAGCTAAAACATTCTGCTGCACATCTGCACATTTCCTTTGGTAGAGGGCACGTTTCCTGGGAAATACAAAGCCAGTCTTAAGAGGCACTGCAGCAGTTTACATTTGCAGCCACAGTCCTTTGTGTTTCAGTGATTTGTATTCTTGGTTATCTCTCCATACCTGAAAAAATTAACTTATGCACTGTGTTCACTGGTAGAATCACTGCCTGGCTCCTATATTTGCATCCTGTAAACTTACAGAAGTCATTGGCTGCTCTCTGGCCCAACCTCATGACCTGTGCAGAACTGAGACTTTCTCTTTGAGTTGTAGGACGAATGAGAGGAGTATGAGCTCAGGGTTATTTGTTCAGCAAATAAATTCTGTTTTGGAAAAACTGGTCAGGGCAGTGAGAACATTTTCTGGGATGATGGCCTTTTTCTTGATCCTCTCCTGCTTGTCATCCTGTCATTGCATTTCCCCTAAAAAGTACTGTGCTGATATAGGCCTTATTTTACAAGTTCACATAAGATTTTTAAGCAACTAGCAAAAGCATAAAACCAAAAGATAAGCAATCTTTTGTGCAGAGAGTTAAAGGAGTTAAAAAAAAAAAAAAAAAAAAAAAAAAAAAAAAAAAAAAGGAGAGCAACAGAGAGCAAGAAAAGGCAAAAGAGAAAGAAAAAAAGAAAGAAAGAAAGAAAGAAAGAAAGAAAGAGCAAAAGAAAGAAAGAAAGGGGGAGAGAGAGGAGAAAGAAGCAGAAAATGAATTTATTGCTCAGATTGGTTACCTTAAGAATAATTTCTAATGTAAAGATACTAGTGAAGACATAGTCTGCATTGCCTAGGATCTGAAAAATAAGCACAATTGGGTTAGTTGTACTGAGCGTGACCCAGGAACAAACAGGCGTGTGTGTTAGCAACAGATAGTGGCAGAAAACTAGTAAGCTTGTGAACAGGTAATGGTAGAGAAGATGGGCACTTTACCTTCAGAGCAATTTCAATGGTGAAAATGACAGTAAAAACTATATCAAAATAAAAGAGAACCTGAAAAAACAAAAGGGAATAGGAGTGGGGAAGGTAGATCAGTGACTGGCCATTGGAATGGGAAATCACAGTTCAAAAGCAAATACACAAATCTCTTAACAAGGGAAAAAGGAGGACTATATGGGAAATGGTTTTGCAACGACGTCCTGTAGAGTGCAATGAAGGTCCTGACACATAGGACAAGCAGCAAGTTACATGAATTATTTTCTAAGTTACAATCCCAGGAGGGCTCTGGAGGGAAAACAAGCTTTTGGTTGTTATTATTGCAGGATTTTCTTTCTTCATTGGTTATTCAGTTATTTATTTATTGATTGTGATAAAGAGCAGACAATGTAAGGGTTTTTATTAAATAGATTTCCAAACTGAGAACATGAGGACTTCTGGTCTCTCAGTGGAAAACTTGAGATTCCTAACTTGAATTCAGGCTTGTTTTGTGTCTCTCAAAAAGGCGAAAAAAAGTATCCAGACTGCAAATTGATGCACGAGCTCTCTTTTTTCTTTTTCCTCTACCCTGGGTTAGGGCGAAATAGAAATGCTTTGCCAATTGAACAGCATCACTGTGACAATAATTTAGCCATGCATCAAAGGTGTCCAACTTATATATTCTATCTTTTCATTGACGTTCTGTAAAACAAGCAAGCTAAAACACCCATCATTCCCATCACTTCAGATCCAGTGGTGGGCATAGCAGTGGCATGCATAGCAAACCACAAGAAGGGGCCCTCGAGTGTCACAGAAGGCAGCAGCAAGTCTGGAAGGGTTAAATGATTTGCAGAGTAACAGCATCAAGGGTGGAGATGTCTTTCGCTGCCCATTGATCTACATCTCACAAAGGTAAATGGGAACTCCTTTACTGACTAGTGAGACCAGAGCTGAACTCTCTTCACTTCCAATGAATTCCAATATCCCAAACCATTTTGGTGTTACATACACTGGAAAAGGTAAAAATTACAAGTTTTGTGCCCATGGATAACTGTTGTTTTAGCTTAACCAAGTTCTAAACATTAAGGCCAATATATGGAAGCAGTAGAAACCTGATTATTTTTCAAACTGAAGCCTCTACTGCTAAAACACTAACAAACATATTGAAGTAAACTATCCTCTCCCTTCTTACAGATCTTAATTCAATCTAGGAGATTTCTAACACAGGAGGATAAATTCTTACAGCTTGGTACATCCTGGGCAATGATGCAACTACTGCAAACTAGAGGGTTATTTTAGATCATACTGTTAAAGCATGATCCTAATCTAGACTAATTTGCAGACAATGAAGGTCAAATAGGGACATGTATACCCTACTGTTGGTTTGTAACCTAAAAACCCTCAGGTCTCTACAGGATTTTTGACCCCAAGACTAATGCAGAAGTTGTTCTGACCTCTTCAGTTCTGGCTTGGGCTCCATAATTTTTTGTAATTTAGAGAATTAAAAAAGGGCCATTTCAAGGATGGATGGACATCAGTTGCATTCTATATTAATTTCCATACATTACAGCTGGAAATGTCCCCTCATGTTGCTGCCTTATAGGTCCTGACACTTGGTTATTATATCAGTGGAATAATTTTATAATCAATGTGCCGGATTCATGAGTACTCTAAGACTAGTTTGCATGACTCCATTGACATAAAGCAGCCATAAACTTGATTAAAGTGGATGAGCACGCTGGGCCTGCAGCTGTTTTACATCACCAGAACACTGCAAAGCAGCTAGGACATGTTGGTGAACCTGCACCCAGAGCTGCAGCTTGTGAAGATATTCCATACAGATGAAAAATCTCACCTGTGTAACTGGTACTATTTACCAGCAGGCACATCTATTCTTCCCTAAATATATATTTAATCCAGAATATATTTAAAAAAAAACAAAAAACAACAAACCAAAACCAGAGAGACTATTGTAACTTAACATTTTAGGTCTTGCTTGGTATTTGAAGAGTGTTTGACCAGGCTGGAGGGACACTTGCACAGACTTGCTGCCTGAGCCCTGTGTGACACAGGAGAGATGCAGCCACTAGTTCACCCCAGGGGAGATGCAGTACTCAGGCCTCTTTGTTAGCTCTTGCTGGAGGAACTGCTCTCTATTCCTTCCAGCTCTGGTGTCAACAAGAGCACTGGTCTGCAAGAGTCACAGTGAATGCCTGCTTATGTTGTCCCACAGTGAGGGCAGGGTAGGTTGTTTGTTTTCAGCTTGCTTTCTTTCCCTCACAGGCACAATCTTACTGTTCTACTGCCAAACTGTAAAGGCAGACCACTTTTGCAACCCAAACATCTTGTCAGTGTCCCCTGGCATGACACATTTTAAACACCCGTACCTGCAAAAATTAAACACAGAATTTCATGCAACATCAATGGGTTCAAATACACAGCAGAACACTTTGCACTAAAACTTCAGCTCTTTTATTTACTACATTTTCTTATTTAAATCTCTGCTATGTATTCTGCAGCTGCTTCTGTCAGAATCCAATATGCCAGCTGATACCATTCTGCACCACTGATATGTACTGATGTACTTCTAGTTCTCCACGGTGGGCACACTCAGCCATGTAGAAGCTCATTACTGTAACATGTTGGGCTGTTATTCTGTACCCTCCTTCAGGAGGAAATGCAAAGCAACTCTGAGATAAATTCAGGAATAAAGTTCCATTAACAACTTCTCTGCATGCATCTATGCATTTAAATGTGTGCTCAGGCCAGAATAGTTCCGGGAAGTAGAACACTGAGCATTAAATTAAGGTCTTATTATTAAAAAAAGAAAAAAAAAAAAGTTTATGCCTAGCAAGCTCTTCCAGCATAAAGGCACCAAATTGCCACTGCAGACAGTAGAGATCAGAAGTCTCACATATGGCTGCTGACACTTCTCATTTCTGTAGTGATCCCAGATTAATGGAAACTACCACCAGCAAATCTAAGCCATGGTCATTTCAAAAGGTTAAAAAGAATGGCCAAGAAGGAAACTGAGAATATATCTCTGTGCTGAATGCCTTCCTCTTCTTCCCCTAGCTTGGCCAGGAGAGGAGCATGGCATATTTTCTGAGGATTATCTCAAATTCAGTGATGGCTTTGCAGCTTGCACAGAAACAGCCTGATTCTAACCTGAAAGACACCAATTTCCCCCAGAGAGATGGCATCAAATTCAAGAATTGTACTTCTGATTTGCACTAGGGTGAACAAAGACAAAATCAGGCCCAGCGCTTTTTAGTTAAAAAAAAAAATGTGTTGGGAGAACAAATATTTCAAAGGCAACTTGCACATCTCCCAACACAGAATTCTCTGGACCTCAATTTTCTCCAGCCCATTTTTAAAGCCTTTAATTCCAGTGAGCAATAATTTTGCTTTAGATGTCTATCATTTCTTTTCCTACAGACACTTCCAAAATTAACTCAAGGCCAAATTCTGCTCTGATTCATTTTCCCTGTATGTTCACACACAGTGTACAAAAGGCATAAACCAGAGCAGAGAGCCACTACCAACACCTCTGATGCAGTCTTTTCTGTGTTTCTTGACTTCAGCTCGTGAGCTGCTTGTGCTACACTTTTAATATACAGCAAGGGAAGGAGTGTGATAAGCATACTTGGTTCCTAAAGGAGAGATGTCGGACGGGGTCTTCAGCTGCCAAGGAGATGCTGCTGAGCAAGATGAAAAATAGGATCAGGTTGGTGAAAATGTTATCATTAACGATTCGATGGCAGTGGACACGAAACCTGAAAGAGAGAGGAGAGGCACAACTTTATCTCTCAGAGAACAGGAAGACTTGGGAAACATTCCCCTCTCCTCTTCAGCTGTCAAGACTGGCCCTTAGGGATTGCTCTGCATAGCAGCTTCACAGCAGTTGTGCTTTGCCCTGCTGAGTGCTCAGCAATCTCAGCTCCCCATGTAATGCAGTAATGCACACAGGGGTAACTGGCTGCCTGCAGGAGTCAGGCTTGGTTCTCCATTTAAATATGGTCTACAGCCTGCCAAACCAAAATAACATCCTTTCCATTCATAGAAATGTTCCCCATTTATATAGGGGGTAAGCAGAAGAAATGGGTTTGGGGATGAACAGTATCATTCTGAGATGGGGCTAGATGGTCACAGGGTGTGAGGCATGAGAAATCTAACTGTTAGTAGGGCACAAATCTGGCAAAATGGCTATAGCCCAGGCAGCCATTTGCAAAGGGCTTCTGGGAGGTTCTCATGCCATACAGGGCATCTACTAAAGCTCAGCTTAATATGAAGTGCTGGTGTTCTTAGTGAGAAAATGGCCTGTAAGCAGTAGCAGTCTCCCATCAAAGAGTAGAAGGCTTACTTGATGCTATTAGAGCATATTTTCACACAATTATATCAGGATATGAAGAGTTAAACCTCATAACAGTCCTATGCATAATTCTAGAGGCACTTCATTAATCTATTTAGCTCTACTTTTGGCTGCTGAGCTGCCAAGCCCCTATTATAGCAATTTTACAGATGATTGCAGAGGTTAATTTACTTTTTCAACAAGCAACAGTGGGGGTGGGTGGCAAAGCTGACATTAGAGTCCATGAGTCCCAATCATCATCAGTCTCTCTCTGTTGCACATACCAAGGAGAAGTGGCACAAGTCCTGCTGTGGGAAGACAAGCTCTGAATTCTCTTGGGCCTTTACAGTCCTGCCTTGCTCTGAGGCTGTGTTTGGTGGCAAAGTCTCCAAGGGAGATGTTGGGATACATGCCACTGAACAGACCACTTGATCAATGAGCTCTTTCCTGCACCCTTAGAAAGATATATTCTCATGCCATAGTTCAGTCCTCCACTCATGGTACTGGTCTCACACACTGGCAATGGAAAGAGAACTGGAGTAATGTGAAGCCAGGCTGCCTGAAGGAGACTGGGGGAAGAGGGTGAAGAATAATTCTCCTCAGGCTCCTCTCAGAGCTATGGATTGTTGTCCTTGTTTCTTTCCTTGCATGCTCATTCTTGGTGAGTGGGAATATGCAGAAATGCAAAAACTCCCTACTGGGAGTGAATTTTGAGCAGCTATTAGGACAAGAAGCTCCTACCTCATGTTTGACTGATTGCATGATGGCTTGCTTACAATCTAGACCTGAATTTGTTGGGGAGTTCCAATTACTGGCTTTCCTCTGAATCCCTTATTTCCAAAGCTTTTACCATTTGTGTCCTCAATTAGACTTGCAGGTGCTCTGTACTCCCACTGCATATCGTCAGAAGGCTTTCTACATTTGTGCTTACATGGAGATTTCATGCCAGAAATCTCTTCTTTTACAGCTGAGCAGCATCTTAAATACCTGTTGTTAGGACTGAAGATGAAAAAAGCACTGGCATCAGGCATGGGGACAGCCTTTTCCTTGAGGTGCAGCTCAGACATTGGGCGAGGCCGAGGGCCGACGGGCATCTCAGGTTCTTCCTCATCTTCCTCTGCTGCAATAAATATTTTTATTATTTCACACACAATGTTTTATTTTATGCAAAATATGACCCCCTCATGGAGTGGTGAGACATTTGTTTCTATTGAAATAAGAGTTACTAACTTAGAACTATAAAAATAGGATGATGAAAGCCTGAGGATTATTGTCCATTTCCCTCCTCTGAGGCAACAACCACTTCCTTGGACCTACCCTGGCAGACATTGATCAAGTCTATCTGTAGAACCATCAATGCTGGTAAGTCCACAATATCCTCACAACAGTCTCTTCAGATGCTTCACTGTCCTTTCTGCAAAATACTTCCCCCTAGTGACTATCTTTAGGCTTCCTTGCTGTGGTCTAAATCCATCACTTATTTTCTTATTGTCCATGGGTACAGAAAAGAGAGAATTCCCTTCCTCTTGCAGAAGGCTTTTACATACTTGTTTCTGCCAGGCTTTCTTTTTCTTAGATAAAAACAACAGTCTTTCCTGAGATGCTGTGTTCTCTAGATCATTCTCACTACTTACCCTTGGATTTTCGGTAGAATTAACCTGCTGCTGAGGTCCTACTGGTGCAAAGGAGAGTTAATTATTTTTTATATCTTATAATGCCATTTTGCTGTTTAAATGCTTTTCATAGGCACTTATTTTCATCACAATCTTGTGTTAATTTGCCACCAGTTTTTGGTTTCTGTGAACCACTGACTCTTTACAATATAATGGTTGCTCCGCCCTTCACTTCCTTTTGCATTTATACTGCTGATGATTCCCACGAGTGGCACTTTGACCTCATCCTTACTGAACTGCATCTTATTGTCTTCAGACTATTCCTCCAGTTTATCAGCATTTTTTGTAATCCTCTTTGCAAGCTCTCCATGGAGCCATTGCTGCACCCAGGCTTGTGTTTTGATGAATGCATGTATGCCATAAAGCAAACATAGAGCACAGGTATTTTAACATACACCTATCAGAAATCCTTAAAACTACCTTCTTTCAATATTCAGTGGGGAGAAGAATAAAAAGGCAGGTGACAAATCTGAGCCTCTTGAACCTGATGCCTATGGAGCAGAACTCCAGGCCCTGTACAGACCAGTGAGAACACTCAAGAAAGAAACTGCAGAGATGGGAAATAAATAAGTGGTATGTGAAAGAGAGCCTTCCACCTTTGAGGATTTCTTCTATGTGCTGAAGTCAGAAGCTTTTTCGTAAATGACACAATGGGATTTTGCTATTTTAAAGTTCACAATCCTCTCACCTAATTAGCAAGACAGGAAGAAATATTTCAAGAAGAGATCCTGACAACTGATTTATCTTCCAGTCAATGCAAAAGAGGAAGCTGTAGTTAAAGGGTTTATCCTAACTCTAAAGTGAGATAATTCCAGGAAAAGCCTGTTCCTTCAGGGCCAGGTATAACACTTCATCTGGTAATGGACATATTAAGAAGAACAGGTGAATCAGTACAGATCCTAATCTAGATGTCAGAGATGGGAGAAAAGTGGCTTTTTCAATGCATGCTTTTATTGCATGCAAATAGGATGAAAAAAAATTCTTTACATTTCTAGTAGCAAGAGTTTGGCTCAAGTTTGCTTGATACATTTTTGGATATGTTTGATCTGGTACACAGTCTGCACTTTTTAATCTGGTCTATTTTTTAACAGCTCAATTTTATGTTGTAACTCACTTAACAATACCCATTCTACAGGTGTTATTCCCTTTGAAGTACTTTTGTGAATAGTACTTGAAAAAATTGTGCTAATATTCATATTTATATAATATTACAATACTTTACACTTGCACCTTTTATCTACAGATGTCAAAGTGGATTGACAAGGAGTGGGGTAAGCAAATCTTTCTTCTTTAACAGTCTGAAATACAAATGCCCATAATCATGTAGGATGTTTGAGAGCTCTCACTTGAAAGACTATTATTCTGAGCCCCAGTTCTGTGCCATCAATATTAGATCTTTTTTTTTTTTTTTTCTTTTTCTTGAAGCAAGCTTTACTTAAAGTGTTTATTTACTTATTTATTTATTTATTCCTAATAGGTATAGGAGAATGCCTCTGGAAAATGGACTCTTAGCAGAAGGACCAGCCCCATGAAGATTATAAGGAAGTCTGTTTCTCTCCTCTTTCTCTTGTGTCTGCCATAAAGCAAGAAATATATTAATGACTTTGGCAACTACATAGCTGCAGACTGGAAAACACACTGAGTTCCTCAGTTATGGAGAAAGAATAATGTTTGAAATGTTTTTCATTTAAAGTAGGGTCTAGGGCACATAAGAAAGGAAAAAGTATAACATTACTACAGCATCAGCTCAGGTCGCTGTGTAAGCTAACTCCCAGTATAAAGAAACAATATATTGCACAGGTGTCAGCATTCATACAAGCAAAGGTCAACATGGTATTCACAAGCTGACTGGGAAGCATGTCAGCTGCAATCTCACACTTGTTCTTTGGCTATTTTCTATACCTAAGGTATACCACTGTTTAAAAAGTGACTTTTCCATTCAAGCCTGCCATGAAATCATGAAGCAAGACTCAGATTTACCAAGTTGAGATCTAGTTTAGAACTCCTCTGAAATTCAAGAAAACTCAAAACTTGGACTGTCATCTTGAGTTACATTTCATGAGAACAGTTGCATACTTTAGTTGTGACAGACACACACAGGCTACAGTGCAGCACCAGTGATAGATTCAATGGAGAGGCTTTTTTCTTTACTCTATACAAAGACCAGAGCCGTCGTGTAAGGACACTGCTTTGCTTCAAACTTCCATAAATCACCTCAAGCCTTCATCTGACCCTCATCTGATGTTCTGAATTCTTTGTCTGTTTCTGTACCAGACCACAGGACTTGCTCCCTGTCTTCCTATAATAAACATGTCAGCATAATAATCCCTCTAGTGTACACAAATCTCTGGAAGGAATAGTCTCTCCCTCCAACTAAGTGGCTAGGTGAACTGATGAGCTGCAAATACATAGTGTATTCTGAGGACTAAGAGAAATACTGTGCAGCAAAAACATTAAGAAGAGGTTATTGAGAAAACTCTAGTTGAGGCAACAGAAAGTAATAGGAAATGGAGTGGGGTAGATTCAAATAATAAAGGAAAAACCAAGTTGGTGTGAAGGATGTTTTCCCAGGAGGGCTGCATTTAGCTGCACAGCACCTTCTGTAGCATGGCAATCATCAGAAGGATTTTGGGCTGATCTGATGATCAGAAGGGAGCTGATGAACAGTGGACAGTGGTACAGTGGGACAGTGGGACACTTGGGGATTGGGAAATTCTTGTTTGCTAACGCCAGTGAGGTCCTTGGAGTTTTGTTCCCCAGGCCTGCCTACATGAGACAGATGTGAAATGCCACTTCTGCTCCAAGAGGGTACTGGTGCTTCTGAGCTTTGTACTGAAAGACAGAAGACAACCAAACACACATCTGCATGCCAGTCCAAGGACTGGCATCCCAAAGCAGGAGTTTAAAAGTGTTTTTGCTTTATTTCCTGACCTCTAATCCTATACATGTCTACAGATAGAAAATCCACAACAAATTGTAGATTTGTTTTTTGTCAAACATTTCATTTGCTAGCCTATTTCTAAATTTTCTACGGAAGGTAATTGAAATATAATTCTATTATGAGTAGGCTTAGATTTGTTATACAGGTATGTGTATCTTTACTTTAAAAAATATAACAGTCTACAAATTCAGGCTAGTTGAGAAACAGAAACAAAACTGTTTCAGGCTGTTTTAATTTGTTCTTGTAACTGAAGATTCCTTAAAACAGATTAGTAACTGGGGGTGGGTGTGCAGTGAATGCCCTGTGTCTAAAGAGGTGCTTGGAAGGCTAAATCCAGAGTGATCTGCCCTAAAAATATCAGAAGTGAACTGTATTTTATGGTGTTGGAAACACAGTCTATTCTTGATTAACAGGCTACGAATATGGATGAATATGAGTATGTCAAACTCACAGATTTTTTTGTTCTGAAAATCAAATGCAATGAACAGTTTTCCTTTCTGACTGTCTGAAACTCTCACTCATCTATTTAAAGTGAACTGTTGTGTCTTTTTTTACCCTATCACATCAACCTATTAACAGACATTTTTTAGGAATCACAGAATGAGAAGAATGTAATTTATTACCTATTACAGTCTGTTATATAATCACAGAAATGAAGAAGGGCAGAGCAAGAAGAGATCACACATGGCCAAATGTCTGCCAAGCTAGGATCAACTAATTATTATATATCTAAGTCTTTTCTGGCAGATATTTCTCTAACCTGTTCTTAGCCATATTTGGTGATGCTAGGTTTCCACAACCTTCTTCACAATTGTTTAGAGCCTCACTACTAGAAAATCTTCCCCTTGTATGAACCTATTAATTCCCTTAATCATAACAGATTGAGATTATTTACCTTCTACCTGTAACAACCTTTTATGCATTTGAAACCATTTCCCCTGTCTTCCCTAGCTCAAACAACCGCAGCTCTTTCAGTCTCAGTTCAGTTTCTCCTTGCATTGCTTCCACTTTGCCCTTCTAGGTTCTTTCCAATTCAGCTCCACTTCTCTTAAGTAGTGCACCCAAAATGAGATTGTATCTCAACGGAGACCTCAATTGCTAAAAGACTAAAAAAGTTGTTTTACTCTGGTTAGCTTTCACTTGCCTGTTAGAAGAAACCTGTAAATGGACTAAAGGGTCACGTTTTCACTGTTTATAACTACTTGTTTGCTTTTTGACAGGTGGCAAAATGTTATTGGCTTCTGGTGAGCTTGTGATTACAAGATTCAAATTCTTTTCTCAAGGACTGTTACCTAACTACTGTCACCTAAGATCTTTTATTTGTGAGTTGTTTATTCCTGCCTATGTAGAGCCTGGCACTTTCAATTTTATTTAGACCATTTATCCAGTTCCTCAAGAGCTCTTTGAATTCTAATGCTGCCCTTCAGTATGCTTTCTGTCCCTCCTAGCTTCATGTCATGTGCAAATGTAATAAGCATATTTCCTTTTCCATCACTCAGGTCATTAACATTGAACTGAACTGAACTGAACTCAGGACAGGCCTTTGGGTTGTAGAACCTCATTTGGGTTATTGCTACTCTCCACGTACAGAGTCTGACCAATTTATCTCCCAATCATCTAGACCATTTTTTTTCTAGCTGGCTTATGAGAATGTTTTGAGACATTCAGAACATTAGCAAAGTCAAAGTATATATATCTACTTCTCCCCTGTCCTGTCAGCCCTTTTAGAAGAAAATAAAAGTGGCTTAACGTGATTTGTTCTCAGCAAATCCATGTTCCTGCTAGTCTTCTTCTTATCTTGCATTGCTGTATTTGTTTAGTTATTTGTTTCAACACTTTTCCAAGAATGGAAGTTGAACTGACCTCTGCTCCACCCCTACCCACCATTTTAAAGACCTAACCTTCAGGAATTCTCAAAGTAAAACTGCTCTGTGTTCCGAGATTGCTTCATCCAATTTTATATAAAGAATTTGATGATGAAGTTCATTAGGTCCAAATGATCAATTCTAGGCTGAGTTTACACCTTTAGAATCATATATATAAAGTTGCACTGACTCTTTTGATTTAAAAATTTCTAAAAGTCATTCAGCACTTTTACCTTCATAAGTATCTGTTGTGGATCTTCCCTGACATAGCATACTGAAAAAATGGACTGAAAACATATATCTAATCATGTAATGTGTGCTCAAGTACCACTAATCACTACAGGAACTGCAAAGGAAACATGGGCAAGTAAAGTGTTGCTAGCAAGGTGAGGAAGGGGATTCCCTCTGCTCTGCTCTTCTGAGACCCCATCTGGCATACTGAATCCAAGCCTTGTGCTCCCAGAACAAGAAAGACATAGAAGTGTTGATGCAGGTATAGAGGAAGCCAAGAGGATGCCCAGAGGACTGGCGCACCTCTATGATGAAGAAAGGTTGAGGGAGCTGGGTTTGTTCAGCCTGGAGAAGAGAAGGTTCTGGGGAGACCTTGTAAAAAGCCTTCCATTTTTTAAAGGGAGCCTAAACGTAAGGATGAGGAGGGTGAGGGGAAAGACAAGAGGCAATGGTTTTAAACTGAAAGGGAGTAGGATTATATTAGATTTAACAAATAAATTCTTCATTCTGGAGATAGTGAGGCACTGGGACAGGCTGTCCAGAGAAGTTGTGGAAGTATGATCTCTGGAAGTGTTCAAGGCCAGGTTGGATGTGGGTTTAGGAAACATGATCTAGTGGAATGTGTCCCATGGCAGGGGGTTTAGAACTGGATGGCCTTTAATGGTCTTTTCAACCCAAGCCCTTCCGTGATTCTACGAATTTAATTGCATCACCTTCTCCCATCATGAAGACATTACCAGATCAGCTTGCTTGCTATCATAATTTGGCTCTATGTGCACTAGCAACTGGAACTTTTTTTTTTAGATCAGGAATAAGAGAAAACAGAGAGATACCTGGTGCTTCTGTTGTGGGATATGGGCTCTTTTCTTCATTTTCATTTGGCTGGTAGTCGTCCATATTAATCTAACAGAAACAGAAGAAAAAAAGACTCAAACAAAGCAGAGGGTTTTCATTCCCCTCAAAACTCAATCTGTCCACATCATCTCTGCATAGTCTGTGGTGCTAGCAGCAGACCTTTGTAGCAGGTGGAGATTCTCCATCAGCAGTGATTGATTTCAGTTCAATTTTCTCCTCCTTTGTCTCCTCCTCCACAGCTGTTTTCTCTATCTCCTGTTTCTTTTCAGGACTAGCAGTCCTAACAATTTGACAAGATAAAAAGAAAACAGTTACAAAGGTGAAAGGCTGTTTCATACAGTACAGCACACACCAAGAGAATGATCAGCTGACTGTCACCTCCATTCTGAGTCCAGATTATATTTCAGTGGCTCCACCTCGTCCTCTTCTGTTCTAATTCCACATAGTATCCTTTTACTTCATAGCTTTCTCAATGGCATGTGTTTATATATGTGTATGAGAGTGCACATGGAGAAGTAGGTGACTGCATTTTTGCGTACACACACGTTCTAGGCATGTGACTAGAAATCTTCTCTTTGTTTACTCAATAACAATGGCATGCAATGTTTTCAAACCCTGTCTTGTGGACTTCCACTAGGTTGCCTACAAAGTTTTGCCACTCACTGCACTTCCAGAGACAGAGACTCTCCTGAATGGTGTGTAGGACACAGCAGAAAGATCTGCACAAAGGATCCCCTCCAAGCAGCCCAGAAGCAAACTGAAGTAACTGGTTAGGAAAGACTTCCCCATGGCTGCCAACAGGGAATGACAGACAAGCTCTAAATCCAGCTCAACTCTCCTGAGAGTCTGCAGAAATACTAATAGAACTAGCCAGAACTTTTCTCCAGTGTATGACATATAAAAAGAAGGAAGTCACTGAATCTTGTGTCTTGGAAATCTGAAATGTTTTCTTGCTCTGTGGTCCAGAGCAATCAGGAGGTAATAGGGATACTCAAAAGGTACTGGTACACCAATAGCATTTCGTACTCATTAACAACTGATGCCCTGAAATCTCACCAGTCACTCAGCCTTTCTTTCTTCTGTTCACATCATTGCAATTGTGAGATTTCCAACTCCCAACACCTTCTTGTCCTTTAGTTTGAATTAAAATACATTTGTACATAATTATATATAAATTATATTAATCATATTTATGTAATCTATATACACACAGAAAACTTAAACATATTACATACTTGCACATACATATAAGCATAATGTGTTAGGTTCTATATATGGATATATATACAAGTGCATGCTTTTGAGGTGGATGCATATTGATTTACCTAGCTAGTTTTTTCCTTTCTTTTTCCTCTTCCTCCTCTTTCTGTGCAGATGTTAAACTCTCCGCATCAGCAAGGTTGTCCACAGCAATGGCCAAAAAGACATTCAGCAGGATGTCTGTGTGCTACTTAAAGAAAACAGGCTTTGAAAACTGCAGAACAACATTATACTGAAGGTGTCTTAATTTAAATTTTTTAGCAACCTGTCATCAGATCTCTTGGATTTTCCAAACTCCCAATTCACACAAATGTTCAGGGTGCACATATTGAGCATGACAAACCTACACCTTCCACCTAAATGTCTAACACACTGTGTAGGGTTTCCAAAATTTCACAATGGAATGACTGACAGAAAAGATAGAAGTCTAGACTTAAACACTTAGATTTCAGTTTTGGTTTCCATAGAGTGTCTTGCTTTATGCAACATATTCCACTGAAGGATAAGCAGAGCCCTAGATGCCTTTGAAGGTTCAGGTCATTTTTGTTAAAGAACTCTCATTTTCAAGATCCTCATACCATTGGGTACCTGGGCTTTCCAATTTTGACCTACATGCTTGAGTTGGACAACTTCATTATAGCCTTTCCCTGTAGGTTTTAAGGACAGTAAGGATAGCACTACCATTAGCATTTCTGAGGGGAATAAAAGAAATTAATTTAGTCTGAGTATTAAAGGATTGGGTTGGCAATTGCCATCTCCTAGCAGAGAGCCCACACATGGAAGCTTCATTACAAGCTAGTCATGCACATGTTGCTGAAGAGTAAGTAATGACAATTGCTTTCTTGTCTTGCCAGTCAGTGTTAAGACCTTGTGATATAAATTTGAACACCAGATTCTTACAGAGATTTCTTTAGAGTAGGTCTTATGCCATCAGTTCTCAGTAAACTCCATTCAAGGCTTAGCCTGGAAATATAGCCACTCCTCTCCCAAAGCTCCAAGGTCTGATGACTACAAAGTCAGCCAGCACATGGAGTTGGCTCACATTTTCCTCTGCAGTTCACAATGAGATCCAAATTGCAGCTTTTTAAAGCTGTCAGGAAGACAGCCTCCCTCGACCTTCAGATAAGTGGAATTGCACCATCTCACTTTGAAGAAAGGGCATGCAGGTCAACCGAAATGTCACATAACAGGGTTTGAGAGACCTGAATTATGAAGAAAGGTTGGAAAAGCTGGGCTGAAACTACAAGGTAGCTCCATAGAAGAACTAGTATAAAAAGAAATGCCACCTCTGACACGAGGGCTATTTATTAAGGAAACAAAAACTAAATATGAACAAATTTGGAGCAAACTGAGATACGGTACTGAACCACAGCTCTGTGTTCAATGCAAATTCCTATGAAAGGACACTCACAGCCTAATCATGCAATGTGCTTTGTGCCTCTGGTTTATGTACCGTGCCCTCACTTCACCTTGAAGCCTGAGAGAACTCAAGTTAATACTGTCTCAGGATAGTAGATAACAGACTACGTGATTTTCTGTTTGAAGATCAAACACATTGCAGTAAATGAAATGGAACAGGGTTCCTGTTCATTTATATGCGAGTTAATATACGATCTCACATAAATCAATTGTGTCAAACATATGTTACTCCTATTACAGAGTTTGCATCTAGCATATTGTATATTACATATATTTTTATTTCACATAAAGTTTGGATGAAATCAAATGGAACATGTTGCTGAAATGGCAGTTAAAGCAAAAATGCACAGTAAGTACAGCAGGGAGACAAAGCGATTCGTTTATAAGGAAGGCAGGAAAGAAAGACCTATGAGGGAATTAGGGGGAATAAAAAATAAAAAAACTAAACATGTAAAGGTACTAAATAAAAGCTGGCATGCAGAAACAGCATGTAGCTGGCTCTTACAAATGTTTATATGCCTGAAGGCTTAGCACTAGCTAAGATTAAATAAACTTGTTTAACTTTTGATAGTGCAAAGCCAAAATCTTAAGCTAGGGAAAAGGTGAAGATGTAAGATACAAAATTAATTACTTTCTGACACAGCAAAAGTAATAAGGGGTGACTTTAAATTCAGCCCCATTTGGAGAAAAGAGTATCATCAAAGGATACAGTTCCCACAGATGAAGAGGATGATGAAGTAAATACAGACCAACATTCCTGGAAAAGAGGGGCCGCCATAAGCCATGATCCCATCATACATCACCGAATTCCAGTCCTCCCCAGTCAGGATCTAAATGACACATTCCCACCAATAAGGGATACAGTGTTAGACCACACAGAGAATTTGAAAACCCCATTAACAGAAAGATATTCACTATCCTAGAGATCACCCCTTCCCCAAAATGGCTGGAAACTCTGGCTGTATCCATTTAACAAATTAAAAACAAAACGAGATTATGCAAAAAGGGCACTAGAACTGTTAAAAAAAACTGGAGATGCCCCCTTGAAAATTGATTGCTGAACCCGAATGGCTCCCCAAGACATCTTTGTTTAAGTCTCCCCACCTCACCTTGGCACTTCCCTCCACATCTGTTGTTTCAGACAAGCTGCACAACTAAAGCACTGAGTACAGCACTCAGCACAGCCCTCCCAGATACATCCCTTCACCTTGTGTGTGAAATCATGATCCCGATGCTCTTGGCTGATCAGTCTCAAAACTGCAGTCAGCTTGAAAGCTATTTAATTTCTCCACTGGTGCAGTGAGCACATATTTGTTCCCCACTACTGTGGAAGGGGAGAGGACAGCCACAGGGACAGGCTCTGGCTCGCAGGCAAGGCCCTGGAACATGGCAATGGCCATTCCCATGTACTACTCTGGTAAGCCCTGATGGCTTTATGATATTTCCCTACTTTGGAAGGGAATACCCCTGTGCCAGCAGCACGGTGCCTTGCTCCTGGAGCTATTAGAATAGTACACAGCCTCAGAGACTACCAGGCTGAAGAATGCAGGAACTACTGTCTGTCTCTCCCCATTTAAAGCACAATATCTCGGTCCCATCTGGACCTGCTCATGCTCTTACCTGAAACACAGTGAGGAGTGACTGGGGGAAGTTGTCAAATGTACTCCTCCTGGTCTGCATTTCATCAAAGTTAAACTTGCCCCCAAAAAGCTGCATCCCCAGCAGGGAGAAGATGATGATGAAGAGGAAGAGGAGCAGCAGGAGGGAGGCAATGGAACGGACTGAATTCAGGAGTGAAGCCACTAGGTTACTCAGGGAGTTCCAATATCTGGGAGAGAAAACAGAAGTAGTTAAAATTTCTTCACTCCAAGACAGGTGCTCTTGGCCTGCACAGGATATTGGTTCTGGCTGCCTCCTGCGTATAAGCAGGCATTTCCAAATACCCTGTTAAGCAGTGAATCATTGATGTACTTCCCTAAGATAATGAGACCTACTGCAGCTAATGAGTAATTTTACTACCACACGTGTACATTCCCTCCACCCCCACTTGATGCGCACACCCAGAAGATTATTGCAGCACTCTCCATTTAAGTCTCCGAAAATCTTATATCAATATACAGTGATTAGTTCTTGCCGCTTCAGTGACTTACATTCTAACCAACCTCATTACAACACTCACAGATGTTATGGCATGCCAGAATACCTCACTCCAGAGAACGGCCTGCAATAAGTAGCAGGAGCAGATGGGGAAACAGTTTGGATACAAATAGAAACTTGTCCAAAATATGGTGTGAATGTGCACTTGGGCTCACAGACAGACAGAGGTTGCATAGCCTTCTGGAACTGAGAATGAGGAAGATACTCCAGGTCCTTCGCATACTGCAACACTTGTTTTATATGGACCCTTAAAGGGAGACTCCAGATCTACACCCCTAATGGCCTCAGTTTTCTTTGCTCATTATCACTGCTTTTTTGGGGTACTAAACCCTTTATATTTGCTCAGGTAGGCTGCAGAACATACTGGAAGGGCCTAGAGCTGGGTCCAAATACAGCTGGCCAAGACATTTCCAGGATCCCTAGGACAACAAAGCACCAGCTGATCACAATAACCAAAATCAACAGATTTTTCTTTTGTTCTCTGGGACTGATGGAAATTTATTGGATATGATTGTGGTGAAGTTCACTTAGATCAGCTATGGAAAAAAGGACAAATGACCTATGACCAGGCAATTGAGACTCCTGCTTTTTGAGCAGCTACCATTAGATAGGGAGGGTGGCTAAGATCTTATCTCAGAGTATTTAGGTTTATGCCCAGATCTGACTGATGTACGATGCAGAAGACACAATCTTTTAGTTTCTTTGGTCTCATTCAAGGATTCAAAGTGATGCAAGTAGCATGCTCTACTCTAACGTGTCGGTTTATTTTGCCAACCAGCAGCGTAGCCGTGTGTTGGAAAAATGCTACCTTTTTGTGAAGAATTGACCACATTGCCAATGAGGCAACTTTCACTTCAGCCTAGTATGTGCTCAAACATTTTTATCCAACTGCTTAGTATGTCATGAACACTTCTACTGTACGTACTTCTGAGTTTGATAGATATTTCAGACTAGATTTAAGATTAGCTGACATCTTCCAGTCACCTCATTTTGAAAACAACCTTGGGTGGCCTGCACAGGCCAGCAAGCCAGTAATGTTTGTGGTCTCTAAGTCACTAAGTTTTCCTTCTAGCAACATCTTTTGTGGCGTCCTACCATGATCTGAGATCACAACACGGTTGACATCCTCCACTCCCTTCTCCCAAAGCTTTTAACAGTGAACCCTTCTCTCCTTAGAAGACCCTGAAGTTCTAGGAAGCTCTATTATAGAACGATGTCAGACATGTTAAGCATTCTCACTTCTTGGAGGAGGTCGGATAATTCTACATACAAATCCATCTTTTCTGAAGGCAATGTGGTCATTAGAGACAGGGATTCTTAAAATCCTACTGAAATGAATATTTTCAAATGCCAGGGTAAAACAAAGGCTTTTGTTGTCCCATGGCAGACAAATATTCAGGTGGACCAATTACTTTGCAAGGGTTAGCAATCTGACCTGCAGATGGGCTGCCATGCCCTCTGAAGTTCAGCAACTAGTTCATCTCCAAGCACTGAGCTTCAAAGAGAACTGTGATGTTTTTCCCCCATCCCAACTTCAGCACTTCAGAGAAAACCATAGTGACTTAGAAGTTTAAGTGCAATTAAAGAGACAAGCATTGTAAAACTACAGAGCAGAGGTAAGGGCATGGAATTTGTGGGCTCGGTGCCACCAAATGTCTAGATTGAATGTGCTATGTAACAGCTCACTATGTTTGTGTTTATGCTTACAGTTCACAGCATTCACACTGTGGGAGGAAGAGAAAGTGACACAGGAAAAGGGAAAAATAATTTCTGATGAAACTGGACTGAATTTAGCATGCTCAAAACAGAAACTGGTGAGGTCTAGAATATCACCAAGCCCTCCAATGTCAGTCAGGACACACATGCCCTTAACAGACATGCAGTAAAGCTGTTACCCATCTGAACAGTCTCAATGACTTGCTTTAAGCTTAAGTGTCTTGCTATCTTATAACACAGCTGCACAGACTTTTATCAGCTCTGCAATTCTTACAAATAGCTCCATATCTGAGATTCAGTTTCCTATGTAACTAATCAACTTTAGAACAATTAATGGAGATAAGCTTAGTGCTTTTTTTTTTCCTGTGCTTTGAGTGCTAGCTAGAAATACAGCATCTTTAGAAAAGTAAACAAACCAATAAGGAAGTGGAGGGAAAAGAGAAAAAGGAAAGGCTAAGGAATGACTGACCCAACTAGGATATGGAAGTAACAATGGTCTTATCTCAGATTCCCGGAAGCCTGAACTGAGGTTACCACTGGCCACATTAGGCAACTGTAGAGCTAACTCAAACACTCTGTCAAAACCTCTTGGGTTACTCATTAAAATAAAGAGCCTTATGTTGGCCATAGAAGAAGCAGCCCAAACAAAGACTCTCTGACCATTCTGTCCTCTTTGGTTAATGTACTACAAAGAGAAGAACACACCAGTTACAACAAATGTCAAGGCACTGCTGGAAGAAATCAGAGAATTTGGACCAGTCATTATGTAATGGCAGGTAAAAAAGAAACCACTGCTGTTTCCTCTGACCAATATGAAAATGAATGTGCTTCCTAACATCCCCCAAAACCAGTGAAAGAGGTTCTGCAAAACTCCAGTGAGAAGGACATGATTATGATCCTTGTTTCAAAAGGGAGAAATAAGATGCAGAGATGTTAAACGGTTTGTTCAACACCTCACATAGAAATCAAATGCAGAACTGGATTAGAGCTTAATGTCTTCTTTTATTCTCTTCTCTCTCCTCTTCATTGCTTTTCACTATGGCTTTATGATACTTGCAATCACAAATGCAGAGCTTAAAACAGTAATGACAGCTGGAAGCCTCTTTGTGGGAAAGCTTCCCACACTGTTCATCCAATATAAAACCATTTTGAAAGCAGGTACAAAAAAAGGTGCCATGCCTTTCCTCCCTACAGTTAACAGTGACATATACAGTGGTAGAATTTAGGTTTGAAATATCAAATTTCAGTAAACTGTTGCAAGCAAATTGATTTATCTTCAAAACATATAGGAATAAATATATGGATTTATAAAGCAATAAAGTACTGTGCCTTAAGAGACAATCATTTGTGTTCTCTCAGCAAAGAAAAAAATTCTGTATAGCGCTATAAAAATTAGGGAGAATAAAAGAGATTATGCTGGCTGCCTGTTTAATCATAGAATCACAGAGTGTCTTGAGTTGGAATGGACCTTAAGGATAACCCAGTGCTGTGGCAGGGCTGCCACCTAGCAGCTCAGGTGTCTAGGGCCCCATCCAACCTGGCCTTGAATGCCTCCAGAGATGGGGCACCCACAGCTTCTCTCAGCACCTGTGCCAGGGCCTCACCACCTTCTGAGTAAAACATTTTCTCCTAATATCTAATCAAAATCTTCCCTCTTTTTATTTGAAACCCATTTTCCCTTGTCCTATTACCATCAGACCATATATAACGTCAGTCTCCCTAGTGTTTATAAACTCCTCTCAAGTACTGGAAGGCCACGATGATACCTCATCTGGACTCTGGAGTCTTCTCTTCTGTAAGCTAAACAAGCCTAACTCCCTCAGTTTTTTTCTAAGAGAGATGCTCCAGCTATCTGATCATTTTTGTGGTCCTTCCCCAGACCCACTTTAACAGCTCTGCATCTTTGCTGTGCTTGGGACCCTAGGCCTGGAAGCCACACTCCAGACAGGGCCTCACAAAGGCAGAGTAGAGTGGGGCCACCCTTCTGATGCAGCCTTCCAGGATACAAGCACAAGCTGCTGGCTTGTGTCCAGCTTTTTGTCCATCAAGACCCCCAAGATCTTCTCTGCAGGGCTGATCTCAATGAGTTCTCCTCCCAGTTTGTATATAAGTATGGGATTGTCTTGACCCAAGTGGAACAACTTGCAATTGGCCTTGCTGAATCTCATCAGGTTCTTGTGGGAGCATTTTTCAAGCCTGTCCTGGTCCCTTTTGGCATCCCTTCAATTTGCAGTATCAACTGCACCACTCATCTTGATGTCATCAGCAAACTTGCTGAGGGTGCACTCAATCACATTATCTGGGTCACTGACAAAGATGTTGAAGAGCATGGGTCCCAAGGCTGACCCCTGGGGGACACCACTCCTGACCAGCCTCCACCTGGGCATAGAGCCATTGGCCACAACTTTCTGGCTCTGACCATCCAATCAATTCTTTGCTGGGCTATTGGATGCATTACCTTTTTGGAGGAGCCCTCCCTAATTCCTCTGGGACAAATAAAAGGTTTTCTCTTGATGCTTCCTGAAGTAACAGTATTCCCTGGCTCTTCTCTGTCACTCAGAAGTACATCATATTTCTCCATCAAATCTAGTTTAAAGCCCTGGTGATCACTCAAGCCAGCTTGCTGCCCAGTATATTCTTGCCCCTCGTGATCAGTTGAATCCTATTTGATGTGCACACGTCCGGTCTCTTGAAGTTGTATCCAAGATCACAGTACTTGAAACCCTTAGTGCAACACTATCCATACAGGCATTCATCCAATTTGTCTGCTTTACTCCTTCTGCCCAGTTCTCAAGACTCCAATTGGGAGGACTGAGAAGAATACTACCTGTACTCCTGATCCCTTCAACATCTTCCCAGGGGATATAAAGTCATTTTTAATATTTTGTAATTTCCTAGTTGCAGCCTCCTGTGACCCAGCTTTAAAGAGTAGGAGTGAATAGTAGTCCTCCAGCTTATCATACCTGGCAGTCTCTTCCTGATACCCAAATGCGGGCACCCAGCAGGCAGCAAACCTCTAGATAGATTATCTGGGCAGCAAAGGAGTGCCTCAGTGCCTCTCAGTGTGGAGTCCCAAATTACTAAGTCTAATGTACAAGACAAAATGATTCTGAAGAGTATTTATAGTCTTGGAAGAAATGTTTGCTCTTGAAATTCTAAATGTGATTTCTAAACAATTTCTCCTAGTGTCTTTACGTGTTTCTTTTATATTGGGGAGCTATATTTGTGCTTTTCCTAGAAGCATATTATCTTAAAGCATCCAGAATTTGTTTGTGCGTAGTGTTTATCACAGAAAATCCACACAGATATATAATGGTTAGGCTAACTACTGACATATTTTCGCCAGAGAATTTTCCCTGCTTTGTGCCTTTTTAATTCTCCTGATTATCACTATTTCCATCTCCACTGTATGTCCACATCACCGCTCATGAATACACATTTGACATAAAACATTACACTATCGTCATCACTATTCTTCCTACCTTTAAAAGATTGTATCTTTCTATGTTATCATTCTACACAGATGGTGTTTTCCAGCAGTACTGATAATGTAAATATCACTAAACTATCACTGTGTAGAGCGGAGTGAATAAAGGAAAAGATTATATTTTACTGGAGAACATACAAAGTAAAAGTTTTGCTTTAATGCCAGAATATTCTCTCCTGCAGTCTGACATGACTGGGCCTGAAGTGCAGCTTTGGAGGCTTGTGCTAAGGCCTTCCACATGAGGGTGAACTTCACCCACAAAGGAAAAAAACCATGGAGAAAATGACAAATAATTAAAAAATGTACAAATCTGAAACTAGTGCAACCTACTTGCCAATATTTTAGGAACAGGAAAGAAGGGAAAACCTGATTAGTATATTGTTCATTGTGAGTTACTCCTCAGCTCTGATTATTCTTTACACATAGACACCTGTAAAAATCACAAGGTGTTTTACACAAAAAATCACAAGGTAATATTTTTTCTGTGAAAAAATGGATTTCAGATATGATGCAGAAGGGAGGTAAGTATAACAAGACTGTTGCTGGCTGGTTTGTACCTTACATCTCTGCCAGAATCTTTAGGAATATCTGAGTATTCCAATAGATGAAGCCTCCTCAAGTATTAATGATATTCTCTCAACATTTTCCTTTCTAGTAGAGAATTCTGCTAGCTAGATGTATTTTGTGTAGGAGTGGAGAAATGCCTAGAAAAAACAATGACCTCTCCAGCATGCTATGTAGAAGCTTACGCTTTTATAGCTGTTGGTATGTTGCCCTGGGTATATCTGATTACCCAATGCCTGAAACAGCTACTGGTTTCCTCAGAAACCAGTCTTGGGACTCAGTGATGATAGCTTTTAGACTCAAAGATCCAGGAAAAACAGTTCCTGGACCAGAGATCTTCACTATTTCTGAAAGGGCAAAGACGTCTCTCCTGCTGGAAGTTCTTGTCAATTGGAACATTTTTCTCTCTCCTGTGATCATGTCTAAATAAGACTACCTTTTTTGTTTTAGTAGGTGCAAGCTTGATTTGGCCACTCTCTTCAAGACTGTAAACTGATTTTCTGTCTCTGCCATTTGACTCTGAAAACAATCAACACTGCCAGAGACTTGAGGCTCAGAAGTTTTAAGGGTAAATTTTGTACAGTATGAGAGTCCAAGTCTGTTGTTTTTTTTTCTGCCTCACATCTCTGCCACCTTGACTGCCTTCCAGTTCTGGTCACGTTTTTCTCATGCCCTGCGTTTTTTATCTCAAATTTGTCAGAAATTTCCTTCGGGGGAATTTACAGCAATTCTATGGACATTTTTGTAGCTGAGCCTGCATAAAATTCACTCTTTCATCACCTCAGACAATCTTTATATAAGATGATAACTGGCGCTCAAATGGGAAAAGCAGGCCCTGTGCTACTATGAGTGACCACATAGGCAGAGCTGCAATATGGGTAAGAAAGGAGATGACGTCTCCTACACCTCCCTCTAGTTGAAAAACTCCTTCCAAATCAAGCTGATGTTTTGGAAGTGCATTTCTGCAAGAAGAAGTAACTGTTTAATGGACACCACTGTGGAGAGAAGACAGAAAGAAAAGCAAAAATAGGAGAGACTAGAGTCTGGAAGTCTGGCTTCTTTGTAGAGCTGCTGCTTCATGCCAAACTTCTCTACAGGAAAAAGGCTGGCAACACCTTTTGCCTATAGCTGCTTGCGTTGACACTTAGGCCACAGTTGAGTCTCCTGGAGCTGGTATGGACTCCTCATTCAAATACTGTTTTGACTTACAGAAGTATTTCAGGCTCTGTTACCCACAAAACCAGAAAACGTCTATCTGCTCTTTGTTTTCATTTGGTCTTTTGCATGGAAATTCATGCACAAACTCAGCATTATCCTCCCAGATTTTGGTTAATCAGCATGGTATCAAGTGTCTTCAGTCCCCTATAACCGACTTTTGACCAATCCAACTCAAATCAGGAACATCTAATCTGTTCAGTCCTGCCTTGGTTGATGGAAGATGAGGACCATTTGCCTAGCACTCCCACTACCCAATTAATAGTAGAAAAAGTGAAAAAAGCACCATGTTAGTGATTTGAAATCATACACATTGTGTAGCCCTCATACATTGTGAAAGAATCACAAAAGTACCTTGTGATTTTAAATATTCTTAATAGCCGAACACATCTCAACACAGAAATGCCCAGTGGTGACATGATCTTCGTCTCAACCAGAATTGTTTCCAGGATTCCTCCACACACAATGAAACAGTCAAAGCGGTTGAAGAGGGACACAAAATAGGCCTGGAGACCAAGGCTGTACATCTTCAGCAGCATCTCTGCCGTGAAAAGAGCTAGCAGCACCTTATTGGCAGTGTCTCATGAAAAACAAACAGAAACAGATTAAGGAAACTTAATCAAAAGATCATCACAGATTAATTATTGATCCTCGCTTGTAAGAACCCCCTTCTGGGATCAGTCTGAAAGAGTAACCTTATCCAAGCTTGGGTGAAAGAGTAGACTTAAAAGGTGTGGGCATGTCATCCACAGAAATGTTTTACAAGGATGCTTACAGCACTTCTTATGCAGATACAGCTGTGATGTATTATACAACTGCACAACCTCTGTGGCAAGGATATGCCTTCCTGTGCTCAATCTCCCATCACACTTGTCATCTGCAGATGGGAGAGGGAATAGAAGAGCTGCTGTGCTACCTGCTGTTGGCTTAATTAAGCCTTTCAGCTGCTCTCACGTCCAGTGAGGATTCAACTATTCTGAAGAATGAAGAATTTAAAAAATCACTCTTTGCCACTGTCCTGGTAGTTAGAATTTATCATAAATGCAGTTTCAGGAAAGACCCTGGAAAAGTTGTAGATACCAGAAGCCATCCATAAATTAGAAATCCAATGGCTGCAGATATTAATTTAGCATAAGCTCCTGATTTCACCTACACCCAGTGGAACATCACTTTGGCTAAAACTGAGGGATTCATTTCTTCCCTGAAAACTCTCCTTTTGCGGGTTGATATTTTGTTGTGTTGTTTAAGATCCTCCTCAGAAAGGGGACTACTTGCAGCTGTGCATGTTTTTTTTACACTCTGTAGCCCAATACACCAGCTTCTCCCACAGCCCTCTTTCTTAACACTGAGCAAAACAAACAGAACCATCACTCTCTCCTCACCTTGAACCTCAGTGAGCCAGTCTGGCTGGTTGTAGTGTTCAGAAGCAATAGTAAGGGTGTTGAGAAACACAAGGAAGATCACCAACCAGTAGAAAACATTGGACTTGACAGCAGCACGGCACTTTCGTCTGCAGAATCGATTCCATCGGCGCCAATAGCGACTTGAAAAATTAGAAAAGGAAAAGTGCTTTTCAGATAGAGATCTTTAGGCTACTGCAAATCTCTGTGAGAGAGACTTTAGTCTTGATTCATTGTTTGAAAATGGTAGGGAATAACTTTAAAGTTCACCCTGAGAAACATGCTCTTACTCTCATCTGAGTCGACAGCTGTGATCATTGTTTCTTTAGCTCTAGGAATAAAGGTAGTCCTAAACCAATTTGCAACATTTAAGGGTGAATAAACCTCTTCAAGCAATATTTTAATCTGATTAAGACATCTATCACAGCTATCCTAAGATGTCTTTCAGCTCAATTCCCACAAAAATCATTATTCTGCCTCTGTATAATGCCTGTGGCCTGAAATGGAACTTGGCCCAGCCTTGGGATAGTCAATGAAAAGATTCCCACTGCGTACGATGGGAGGTGTACAATTGGAGAGGTGAGATAAAATAAAATACCTGTGGAAGGTATCCAGCATTTGGCAATGATTAGAAACTAGCGTAATCCCAGAGCTAACTCTGAACAGAAAGATTTAGGGGACCTCAGCACCTTACCTTCTTGACTGGAGCTAAGGATACCATTTGTTAATCAACAGATCTTTTAAAGTTTGCCTTCCAAGAAGACGTTCTCTTGTGTCACTGATTTCTGAGGGTAATTACTAACCACGGAAGATATTTAAAGCTAATTACACACCTCCTACTCGTCAGAATTTAACTTGCATAGCAACCAGTTTCCAGGCAACACTTGCCACTGTATAATAAAACTAATAGTTCTATATAGATATTATATACATTATATACACAGGTGTCTGTTGTGGTCTTTAGGTGCACACATAAACATTACAGGACAGAGAGGGAGAGAAAATCTCTTGGTTAGTCTTTTCTTACATATAATTCCCAGTGATAAACTGTGGCCATACTTGAGGTCAGGGCTCAGCATATAGATAAAATAAAGCCAGGCAATGTGCACACTGCACACCGGCTGAGAATTTTGCAACACCATTTTAGCAGGCAATAAAATCCAGGCTGTTTTAGCTTTATAATTAACTTTGCATCTAGTCTTGGTAGCTCAAGCATTTAATCAGAGCTGCGTGTTTAGCAAGTGGACTGTGAACAGGAAATGATCTTTCAATTTTCAAAATGGTCACAACGCTTATGTGTTTACACTGTCCTTAAGCCATCAGCAATCTTACACAGTTTTGTGTCTATTTTGCACTAATGGAGAAAGAACATCACCATGTGGTGATACAAATGTTTTCTTGTGCTTACACTTGGCATAATTAAACCCATGGACTGTATGAATGTGATCAATTATGCAACACTCTGCAGAGGGATCATATTGGCAATATGTACACATGCAGATTCCTGAATTTACATTATTGTCCCTTATTTAAGTAACATTTTAAGCCTTGTTTCGGATCCTGTGAAAGCTAATTTACTTTTTTATAAAATTGACTTTGAATTCAGAGTTAAGGAGGCTGCTGGACTCTTACAGAAGAGGCAGAAATGGACTGGGATGTCAACAATCAAGTTAATGGATTTGGTCAGCTTTTACAGCGAAAACCCACAGATGATCACCTGCAAATTGATGCACATTGTTAAGAGCTTTAAGTCAACAGAGAAGGAAGTATCACCAGAAAAGCTTCACATGTCTCACAGTAAAAGAGAGCAATTCACAAATAACCTGAATACTCAAACTTTGTCAGTTGAAAGATTTACAGTCAAGCAGCACAGAGTAATGGAACCCAGAGTAGGAAACAGAACCTTGAGCTGACAGGGTTGATGTTATGGGCGCAATGTAATTATGTGGTAGAACTTTTTTTCCTTCTGCTTTTATTTTTTATGGTTCAAGCTGCAGAGGTAGCAATCAGATATGTACTTTTGAGTGAAATATTCTCAGTAGTCACTGTGCCTTATTTCAGAATGAAATTTGGAAAAAATATATTCTTATTTAGTAGATGATTGACTAAAATCTACCAAATGTGGCAGCATGCCCTAGAATCAAGACTGCCCCCCACAGATGCAGGGAATAATCCATTCCACAAGGTAAGGAACAAGATCAGCGCAAAGGAAGAAAACAAAAGTGGGTTTTACTTACCTAAATTTAGATTTGGAGATCCGATGCCTGAAAGATAAGAATTGCCATTAAAGTCTCTGAAGCTTTTCCATACCTCCTAGGCTTTTATGAGAATAGCAAAAGAAAGCTCAATTAATTTTTTGTGCGTATACTCTTTTCCTTTGGAATCCCCTGTAAGGCAATGTAGGCTCTGGACAGGATTAGGATTCTCTGATATCCAAACCTTTCTTTTGGTGGGAGTTATGAAGCAGAAGTCATGCTGTGGTAGGAGTCTACCACCTACGAAGATCAGCAAATAGCCTTTTTCTTGGGTAAAAGCATGGCCTAAAGCTAGGATTACTATACATCTGCTACTACGTTTATTTTTTTATCATGACTCTTTTTCTTTTAGTTGCTAGTTGTTTATATACCTATATTAAAATATATATGACATACACACAGACATATTGCGTTCACATATCACACATCACTTCAAGATGTATAAGCACATTATGAAAACATGGGGAAAATAATGCTTTCTTTTTCTCCTAGCAATTGAGGGAAAAACAGTATATGCTGAATGTTTTCATACTTAGATAATAACACTCATATTTATTTGCCTTTGTTATCTGTGTAAAGCGATCTGAATTTAAATGGGCTGAACAATCAGAAATTCTGCCGCTGTCAATGAAATTTTGGTTATTAAGCTCTCCTGAAAGTTGAGCCATGCCCAAATTATATACATGTTTCAATATCTAATTCCATGCATTCATTCTCTTCAATAATCTAATTGTATAATAGCCTTATACAAGAAGTCACAGGCAAAGCTAGAGACAAACCCTAGTTCTGTAGCTCTATCTTGCCCTGCTTGCCCCTTGTTGTGTAAGTCCCAGAAACTCTTAGACTGTCTTGTGGTATGTACACACTAGTACAGGCAGAGAGAGAACAAAGGTATGTGGATGCAACGACATTCACCAGAGATGACTCAGGGAGCTTCAAAATCCACTACCAATAACAGAAGAAATGAAGATTTGGAGAGTGACTGTGAATAAGACATTCCTGCTGAATGGAAGTATTTCTTAAGGTTCCCTCTAAGATAGGAAAGTGATTCATTGTTGACAACAGAAAGCAATGGTCTCCCTGCACTGGCTTAAAAATGGAGCTGTGTTAGCAGACATAGGGGAAAGCAATTCTTAAAGCATCCAACGCTACCTCCTGTAGTAATCTTGAAGCTGTTTGAGGACATTGGTCACTGACAAAGAATGCTGGGTCAGTTTCCTTGTGTGGAAGAGATTTTAGTGATAGGAACATTTCACCAGCAGATGGTCCAAGTCAAAACAAATAAAAATAAAAGCTTTTGCACTGAATACATCTTTCTTGCTAATGTCACAGGCAGCTTGTCTAGGCCACATACTAGGCAGCAGCGTGGTTTCAGACACATGCAAGAATTCTTTTGATAAAGAAGAAATAATGCACAGGCTGAACAGAATGCTAAATTATGCTGAGGAGACAATGGAACTGTAATAACAATGGCTGGTGAAGCACCTACACAGCATATCCTTAATGTTAATGCTATCCGACCATCTTACTGAGAAGTCCTGCTTAAAATGGCCTGCCTACTGTAATGGATCAGATTTACAGGCAACAGGAAGGATCAGACAAGGCCAGGAGAAAGAAAAAGAATAAAAATAGTGCAATGTGAGACAAGGCTTGGTGCTGAAAAAAGAGAGGGAAGACTTTCACAGGAGAAAGCTTCAGGTGGGGTGGAAAGAGAGCAAGAAAGATATAATGGGGTACTGCCCAGTGGAAAGTGAAGGACAGGGAGTATGAAGTCCTCTGATGACCTCTCTGATGATGGCTTCCCAGTGAGGGAGCTCTGCTGCATTTAAGGAATTTTTTATTTATTTAAGCAGAAGAGATGTGGCAGGTGTAGTATTCATCACGCATGTGATAATTACATCTTTGGAGCATTATGAGCAACAGCCAAGTGCATTCAGTGCTCCGACAGGTTAGCTGTTCCCCCCGCCCCACTGCCTTACTGTTATGGCAGAAGGCTTTATCACAAGTGTGGGTGTGATATATATATAGAACAGGACAAGGGAGGAGGAAGAGATTATATTTAGAGGCAGAATCCGAGAATGAAATTGAGTTTTGGAAACACAAATTGTGCAATAACTGTTTTTAAAAATATTATGCCCTAATCTGAAACATATATTTTTTTAAATGATGCCTGTGATCAAGAAGCCTTTGCCTTTCAGAATGAGGGTTAACACCATACACAAAAATGCACTTATGGCATTTTTCAGGTCATCAAATGGCCTCTTTGTGACATTCCAAACTGGCACTTGCCAGGGGCTCAGCGTGAATCAGATTCTTTGCTACAGGTTTAAACACAAGTTTAAATCTCTTGTACACCTCATACTCCAGATGTTTTATGTCTTTGAAAGAAAGAGATCTTCCTCAGGTGGAGCTCTGATATGTTTTGAGAAATAGTAGGTTTTTTTTTTTTCCCAAACATAATATTAGAGCTTATATGACAATTGTTTCAAATCACTACTGAGTGTTTTTGTCATAGGATCCATGTAACTCAGATTACATCTTAAAAAAGCTAACTCAGAAATCAGACTTTTATCATTTGAGTAGCCATGTTTGATTTTATAAAATTCTTCTAAACCTTACCTGGTTAAGGTAAAGATACTGCATGCAGATAAAACAGTGAAACATAAAAATTTTATCAGCATAAGCTTGGGACAATAAGCATAATTCAGATGTAGTGAGATATCCCATATTCTGAGAGATAAAACAGACAACAAAACCTTGGAAAGCGTTTTTCCCTTTCTATCTACCTGCTGAAGGAAGGACATTTCATTGCTCTAGTAGGGATGCTGGAATTGCTGAAGAATAGATGCCCACCCCAGGGTCCTTTTCCATACATTCCTAGGACAAGAGTATACAGTGACATAACATTTTCATTTCCTCATAATCTCTCAGTAAAATGAAGTCTTAGGGATAAGTTCTACCCTCAGCTACATCTCTGCAATTTGTCCTGAAGCAATGGACCTCCAGCCTGTCACACGCTATCCTCTCTACAATACAATTAATACTGCAGTATTATACAGTGATACACAATAATCATTTCTCATTTCTGTCTGTTTATTAAAAGCTTCAAGCAAAACACCATGGAAGACTGGCCCCAGAGAACTTGAACTATGAAGTGGATTGAAATCAAGCACTGAAGAGCATGCTGACCCAAAGGAGTGATGCTGAGTTTAAGAGAGAGGTGGCTGTTTGCTAGCAGCAATAAGAATCTAAAGAATATCCTTAAGAAAACTGGATCTATCTATCTTAAAGTTTAGGTGGTTTGCTATTTATTAGGCCTTCTTGAGCTGGGAAACAGACTGGAGAAACAGGCCAGCACTTAAAAGTGAGTGAATAACCCTGCTCTCCCTTTGGCAAGTCACAGGTAAGGCCTATCACAAAATGTGAAGAAGGAAGATAATGCCTCCTCCACAAGGGCATGCTGCTGTCCTGAGACACATACCTAGAACTGACTGTGAATAACAAGAATGCCCTGCTTATAAATAAACAAGAGAGCAGTAGTGAATGCTGATACGTAAGGATTGCTGCCATGTGTTTTCCTTCTGAAGTCAGCAGAGGTTTCAGAGCTTTTGGCAAACTTTTCTTTCCACAGCTCCTGATGTGATTGAGAATTTGGTCCCCAAAGGAATCTATCTTCTCATTAGGTCAAAACCAATGGCAACTGTAGCGAACCTGAAAGCAGAATGACCCTTTCTCCTTTACCACTGGCTGCTATACTGATTATTGCAAGAGCTGCATAAGGAGCTATTGTACAGACAGAAAAGCACCAAAGGAAAATCACCGATGGTTTGGCTGCCAAGGAAAGCTTCTATTGTCTATATTATTTTAAGGAATTGCATTTTCTGAAAAGCCAGTGTAGGTTGTTCATTTTGTTCTATCCTTTTTTACTGTTTTAACCCTCTTTGGTGGAAAAGCAATTGCACTGTCCCCCAAATATATGGAAATCCCCACCAAGGTGAAAGCACCAAGTGGCTTATTATTTCAGGGAAAGCAGATCATTTTAAGCTCTCTTCCCCTTTGAGCTCAAGTGCTTTAGTTTTCAACCGTAGCTCCATGAAACTTAGTTTCCACAAAGGTCTCTTTTTTAGCTAAGACATACCTATAAAAGCAAGTTCTATTGTGGCACTCCAGGTCTGCATGGTTGTATTAGAAAATTAGCATTCTGGTTGTATTGGAAGATTATATATGCTGCTATCCTGTGCAGAACAGATTACTGTTGATTATGAGCAACAGTCTGCCGGCAGGAATTTGAGGCCTGCTGAGCCTCAAAAAGGCTCAGAGAAATTACTCATTATTAGGTATAAGGCTGTCCTGTAAACAGAAACCCATTGCTCCTAGTTCTGGGTTTATCTCACTGATACTTGTTGTAGAGAAAACACATTTCTTTGCACCTGGAGGCAACAGGTTATTAAAGCTGTGACACGCCAGAATTAAGATAAGTTCCACTTCCTGACATTGACCTTGAGGATAAAAGCTGTTGTGTTTCTACTACAGGGCAGATGTCAGTGCAGTACAAGGCAATGTCATGACAGAGATGATACACTGTGGAATTTGTGGGACATTTTTCAGTGCTCCATGGAACCCCACAAGACCTTTTTTTTTTTTAAATTTGGACGCCTGTTAAAGGTAGCACCCATTTTAGGAAGGATAATACTCCCTGCCACAGCTCACCTGATGAAAGCAGAATTACTAAGGACGAATATGAACAAAGTTTGTGTTTGCTTGTTTGTTTTAGTTTTAAGCAACTGGATTTACACACTAAGCAAAGAGATTAGATACTACATTCTTCCTGATACTCCAGCTGGTTTAAAGTCTGGCATTGCTCCAGACAGCACAGATGATAGTATGGATACTATAGGAAGAAAAGCTTCTTTGAAACAATCAGTAGGAGACAGTGTGTGTTTGAGAGGTAGTCTCCTGATCTCACGTAGCATATGTCTCTGTGGAGCTGAGAAAGGCTGTCAGGGAAGATCTCCTTTTCCAAAAGACATGCTTGAGCCTGGCTTCTCAAGCAGATCTTTCTGTCATTCACAGATGATGCCTTTCAAAGCTCTGCAGCTTTTTATAAGAACAAAAAGAACAGCCAGTAATTCAGAGTTATCTTTAATAAAAACGCTTTTTCCTTCAGTCTCCTAGGTACGTTTTCTTTTTATCACACAGGTATTCTGATGGCAAGGTCATTCTGTAACCATGGTGGTGGTGTTGCTGAGGTGATTAAATGCCCTAACAGCTTGATGCCACTAAATAAATAAACATATTACATCTGCCTTGAAATCTCCCTGATACTTCAGGGAGCCTAGCTGCAGCTAGCCCACTGCAGATTCTGACCCCTGGGAAAAATGTGCTTATAGCAAGACGATGGGGACTTCTGGCCACTGGGTGACTTTAGTTGGCTGGTCAAAATCAAAAGTCATCTGAAACTCAACACATGAAACTCAAACAAAACAAAAACAAAACATGAACAAAAAAACTTCTCTAGCCATTTCTGCTCTAAAAGACAAACTTCAGAAGGCAGAGGAGTGCTCAAGAGTCTGGGCGTAACCTTCAACTACAGTAAATCAGGATGTCATGGTCACAATCATTAACACTTACTGAAAGTTCACCGGTACTACGTGAAAGACATGTTTGAAAAACTCAACTTCCCAAAAGAACTACTTCTATCCTTGAACAGCACTGAGTTAATTATTGGATGCTCTGACCAAATTCTGATGCTCTAAGTCATGTTCCACCAGTGTTACTTACTACTCAAATCAGTTCTGAAATCCCTGCTTACATTTTATATATTCCTGATGGAATCAGAGTTCAAGACAAATCAAAATTTACCCATAAGAGAGGAATTTGCAGCTCCACAAATTTACAAAGCCAGGAAGCGTTGACAAATTTGTATTTCAGTACAGACTTTCAAATGCAAAGATAGTCATTCATTTTCCTGGTTGAAGGCTCCCATTCATCTCTTGGAGATGAAAAGCAATCTCCCTGAGGCCTTGAGGATTTTGAATGTCCTTGGGTAGGGGGGTTAAAAAATCCCCTTCTCAATAACAGTTTTCAATTTCCCTACTATATGCCACCTATCTCCAAATGAAGTGGAACGTGGCAAGGAAACCGTTTATTTCTCTCAATCTTACAAGTACTGCTTTGGTGACACTTAGGCACTATTTTAAGATTTACAACATGGGAAGAAGAAACAAAGTTCCATTTTCCTGTCATCTTTCTTTGCTTTGTTAAAATGCAGTGGACATAGCTATCCCTTCTCCTAACAGTGTAGGCATAGTGAGCGCTGTGCCAGACCATAGGACTGTCATTCTCCTGTGGATATGTTGGATCATTTTCAGTAAACTCCATTCTAAGTCATGTTTATGTTTAGAATTGGGTTAAACTTCAGCTCTCCTGGCCACATTCCAATTTACAGAATTATGTTCTCCTTGCCAAAATTCCCCATACTGTTTCAGAGCAAAACACGTTATCCCTCATACACCTCCTTATACACTCATGTCCTTTCCCCTTATGTTTTTAAACACCTGTCACATTTTACCCTGAAGGTAGCTAAACTCTAACACTGTGAAAACAATTACTGCACATACAGTTCACGAAGTGTTTTAGGATCCTCTGGGATTAAGGACATTAAATGAATGCAAGCTGTAATATTAAAAATATATGCAGCTTTATATTAACGGTTCCCATTGTTGTTGGCACTGTGTAGCACCAGGGGACCCATTGTGTTAGGAACCATAATTGCAGAATAGAGATAGTTCTCCAAATCAGATCCAGCTGGAAGAAGTGGTCACATATCCAGTCACATATCCTATTATGTGACAAGAGCACAGGCAGCTAAGCGAGGTGCTAAAGGGAGAGCTCTAACTGCCTTATTGCTGTGAATAGATCTTGTCTGGTTCCTTCTGAAAAGAGTTCATAATCTAAACCAGACTCAGCAGGTAGACAACAGCAAGCAGGAGAAGGAATGCTATCATACTGTCTTCTAGGGTTTGTAAGCCACTGGCTGACACTTCCAGGAAAGCAGACTGAATTTATAACATTCCACATATCACGTCTTGTAATGCAGATAAGATTGCTTCCTCTTCAGTCTGTAGAGGAGAAGGCCAGGGGTGTTTGAGGGAGATACAATCAAGGTTTATGAAATCATGAAAGTGATAGATTAGCTGAAAGCAGAACTGTTGATCATCGAATCTCACAGTATAAGGAGGAAAGGGCATCGACTGAAAGTAGTAGTATATCAGCTTAAAACAGATACACTAAACTACTTGTCTACACAGCAGGTAGAGCAGCTGAAACTTGCTTCCACAGGACACCGTGAGGACAGGCAGCATTAGCAGTTTCAGATAAATCCATGGCTGACAGGTCCATAAATGGCCTCTAAAGGCAAAAATGGGAAACATCTCCTCTAAGATCTCTAACACAAAATCATGAATCAGGAGCAGGAAAGTGGAATAAAAGGCAGGAAAAGACCAGCCTTGCATGCTTCCCCTCCTGTTACTGTCAGGGTCTGAACACTGGACCACAGGCCTAATGAAACAGAATTCTTCTTAGGTACTTATGATCAGCAGTTGATCAAACAGAAGGGCTCAAAGTATGTCCAAGGACAGGACAGAGTCTCAAAATATTCCAGCACAGTGCTTAGTCCAGTTTTTATAGAAATTAAAGAGGGTAAACATATTTACAGGCAGCATAAGGTCCATTCTTATTTAAGTCGTGCAAAAGGGAAGAAAGGACTCCTCTGGTCTATTCTACACTGTGAAGATAAAAAAAAACATATCTTATATGTTTTATATAAATGTCTTCCATAAGTGCTATCTGACATGTTGTTGAGTCTGTCTACTTACTACAATGGTGTGATTTTGAGAAGGCTTTACCCCCTCCCAACTCTGCATTTATTTTTCACTATGATGTGCTCAGCACTTTAAGGGTGTAATTCAGGCTGTAGGATGGAAGCTATCAAGTGTACTTCATTTACATGGCACTGTAAAGTGCAGAGGAGCCATTAGAGAAATTAAAATATACTGGTCAATTCCACTGTTCGGTCTGCATATACTGAATTTGATTAACTATCACTAAAGACAAATTTTAAAATAAGAACACTTATCCATCAGTTCTTCTTTTAGCTACTATGCAAACCCAGCTCTGCTTATTGTGGGAATTCTGTGATTTATTTATATCTGTGTAATCCCAGAGGCTCTCCACTAACATCCAGAGTGAGTTTACATTGCAATTAAGATAAGAACTGGGATCAACAGATCTTCTCCACCCGCTTTTCACCCATAGTGTGGTTTCTTTCCCCTTAACAAGTCTAACATTTGCCTTGGCTTTAAACCACCAAGCTCAAGCCAGCACCTGCACACATATAACTGTGTATATGTACTCACGCTAGCCTAGCACCGCAGTTTTCGCCTTCAATATCTGTTCCAGGGACGTTGTCTGTGTTCACGGACTCGGTCTCACTGGTGGGCATGCTCACTGTAAGAGTCAAAGGGAAGAAAAAGAGAGGGTTGGCCATTAGAACCTGACACATCTATTAATGAATCACATCAGTCTTATTTAAAAGACCCTCCGCTGCAGCTCCCGAGGATTAAGCGCTTAGCTGAGCAAGTCTACTGCCTCCCTGCACACACAAGGCTGGGCTGGTAGACTTTTGGAACACATACTGCTTACTCAAATGCTAAAGAAAGGGAAAGAGTCAGCTGCTTGCTTTCTTTTTGAGTCAGTTCCTAGGAACTGTTATGAATGAGAATCACTGAAAATGAGAGAATCTGGCAAAACCAAGAAATAAGCTTAATTCAATGAAAACTTAGGAAGATGCCTCTTTACCTGCACCAGCCCAACCATTTCACTGCCCTTCCCAGTCTCTACTGTAGTGGAGTGCAAATAGCAAGTCCCAGACTGAGAAGGAATCAGATAAAAGGTTTCAGTTGGCCTGATAGCAAGTTCCACATAAATAATACTGATGGCCCATCTGCTGTATACCACTGTTAATGGGTTTTAACCTTACACTTAGAGCCTGAACTTACAGGGGTAAAGAGGGGAATTCAAACTCTCAGACCCTTTCAGGTATTACCAACAAAGAAACTAATGAATATGAACTGTGGCAGAGATTTTATTTTGACACTCATCAAATAAGTACTGGACAGAATCTCCTACACTTTTACAGAAATATAATGGAATAACTATCAAATGAAAGCAATCTTAGGTATGAACCTATTTCACTGGGATTCAAGAAGGTGTCACATCTTCTATCCATTATGAAACCGTAATATTTTATTTGTTTCTGTAGATGAAAAAGATTCACTGTTTCCATTACACAAACTTCTCCCAACTCCTATATGAACTGCAACTCCTTCAACATACTAACATTCAACTTACGGTGGAAGAAAGGACAGCATTCAATGTGTCTCTTCCAACTGAATAATGGAAGAGTTAGGTCTCTCAGATGGGATATGTATCACAGGTGAGTCTTGACAATATGCACTATTAGCTGGGAGAGAAGCTTCTAATAGCTTGTCAAAATAGGTTACCATTAATAAAAAAATATCTAATAGTAAGCCCTTGATTTAAAAAAAAATAAAATAAAATAAAGGAGAGAGAGTAAATACGCTCTGCATTCCAGTTGGGCAGATGTTTTATGAGCTATGGGCTCAGAAATCCTTTCAGAAGCTAGAAAGATATCAGAAGGTTCTTCCAAAGGTGTCCTGGGTTCTTGCTTTGAAAGCATTATGGTAGAAATGTCCCTCAACATCTTTCCTGCGCACCATCCCAATAATGCAAGCGCCTCCAACATATGTCTTTGGAAATCTGTAAGTTCTTGTATTGTGTTATTCAGGAACACAGACCCTATGAAATAATGGTCTCTCTAGCACTCTTGACATAACAGTGAAATACTGTACACTAATGGTGCCTGTTTCTTTACAAAGACTAGACGTTTTAATAATCTTGTCTGTTCAGAAAGATGAATAAAGAAATCAACTGGATTCATATTTTGATGTGCACAGAAGAGTCAAATAAACTGTAAGAAAAAGAGACATTCATAATTAAAATTTTCAAATTTTCAGTCCAGATGAAGCCCATCAGCAAAAAAAAAAAACAAAACACCAAAACATTGATATTTGGTATGTCATCTTTGAGGATGAAGTAAAGCACTTTCAAGACATATTTGAGCTTATTTGCAAATGGGAAACAATCTTGAAGACATTAGCAAGAGATTGATCTGCAGAACAGCTTATTATCTTAAGTGCATGAAGAGGACACTGCACAAGCAATAGCAAAAGCAAGGCACGCACATGCAGAAATATACAAAGATACATTATGTGTCAGTCTTTATAGAGATATATAGACAAACACACATACAAATATGCGTAGTGTGGACACAAAGTGCAGTGGAACATTACCATGGGTTTCTGTGGAGTGACTAAACCAAGAAAACTTTTCTTTCTTCTTATCAGGCAAGCCAGCTGGAGTGCTTCCTTTCACAGACAAGATGGTCAAGTACCAGGAACAAGACATCAATAGAGAACATGCAGCCAGTGACAGGCAAAAGAAAAAAACAAGGAACTCAGCTTGCACATGACATCCACTTCTGTCAGAAAACTTCATCATGTGAATTAAAAGTACAAAATGAAAAAATAAGGTATATAAAAGTAAAAAATATTATATCAGACCATCAGAGGATAACCTCCCCTTGCTTTGTGCTCTTTTTAAAATTTATCTTCTGAGAATAATAAGTGGTTGTATTTAAGTTTATGGGTGAAATCATTTTTCCAGTGATTTCAATGGCAAAAGTCTTCTTGTTTGACAGTCTGACCTACTGAAATCAATGAGTCTAAGGCACTCACAACATGTCCCAAAGTTTTCCTCTAATCCTTAGTGCCAGGATCTGGACCAGCCCATTTTTGGATCGGATTTCTTGTTCTTTTTTTCCCATATTTTTCCAATATCAAGAAACTTTCCAAAAGTGATGGAGATGCTAAAGAAAAATTGTTGGGATAATTACATTTCTCAGTCTTTTCTCTGTCTTTTCTGTGGTTGAGGCAAGTTGCTGGCACTAACTCTCAGGCATTTTCTACACTGCACTGTTGGTAAATGTTAAGGACAGTAAAAAGTATTACAAAGTTTTCATGTATAAGAAGAATGAGGGCCAGAAGTTAAAGGCCAGGATGGACAGGAGATGTGGACCGTAATCTCAAAAGTGGTGTGTTCTCAGCAGGACAACCACTTAATTTTATGTGGCACCTCACTTCATCTTCAGTATCATGGATAGTCATGTGCATAGCTGCTATGAGGTTCATTTAGGCCAGTTAAAAAATCCTGAAAACAGAAGTTGCCGCAGAAGATTTATGTATAAACTGGGGCTGAATACGAGATGAAGTAGACCAAATATTGCCCACACAGCTCTCTTTCTGATTCAGTTCTCAGAGACGCAGACCTTGTGCCCACACCCCAGCTCCAGTCTAGAAACAAGGCAGGCATTTTCTGCAGTCAGGGTAATTAATTATTGGAACTATGTACCAAGAATGCTGGTAGTGAATCCACCGCAACAATGTTTTAATTATAACGAGATGTTTTTCTAAATGGTGGGCTCTAGTCCAGACCAGAGCTATGTTCAGGATCATGCTATATGGACCATGCCATCTCAGTGACTAGTTCCTCTATATAGTTTTGGAAGCTGAGACAAAAGTGCTTTTCCTCCTGTCTAGACACAAAGTGACTTAGTGATGGAAATTCTGGTGCCTTACCTCCTGCTCCAGTGTGATCAGTGACTTATGCACTCTTACGAGAGTTGTTCGCTGTCAAGTTCAAAAAATCAACTCCTTGTACCCAGATCAGAGTTCCCCACAGGGCTGGGTTCTGCCAGATGCAGTGTGCACCTGGATGTTCAAGCAGACTCATAGATCTTCCATCTACCACAGGCTTTGCCTTGCAAAGCAATTCAGTGTCCAAACTACACCACAGGCATTCTATCCTCATGCACACAGTTCAATTGCACACCTAATACCTTGGGGTATTAAGTTATACCTTAGGGTCTTAGTTTAATGACTAAATACCTATACTGTAGATAGGCGACTCCTTGGCACACGTGAGAGCAGGTTGTTAAAAGAATGAGAAGACATTTCCACCAGACAGTTCACCTTTGCAGGACTGCACCAGCAGCAGCAGTGGAGCTAACAGTGAGATGAGCACACTGAGCCAGCAGTTTGCCTCAACCAAACCAAACCAAGCCATACTGTTCCAAACCAGTGCAGTGAATTACTAACAACCACATAGGGCTAGAATACCTCTGGGCAGCCTGGTCTAGTGATTGGCAACCCTACCCACAGCAGGGGGGTTGAAACTAGATGATCTTTAAGATCCTTTTCAGCCCAGGCCATTCTATGATGGTACCATGGAAGATATTATGCAATCATGGTGGCTCTGCTTACATTGCAATATCTTTTTGAATTTATCTTCAGTGATCCATAATTCACTCAGGTTGATGAAATCTCCCATTAATTACACGTTCTCAAGGCAGTATAGGAACTTCTTTTCAAAGGGAAGTGAAACAGCTTTTAAAGCATGCAGGTATTTCACGGCTTTGATAGAATGCAAACCATGACGACCAGTATGTTTTATACTCTACAGTCACTGAAATATTTGCACTTCTTATATCTCTCCACAGCGTGGCTCATGTCTGAATACAGAATTTTCCTCCTGGACTACCTACACTCTGATTTCACGTTACTTACATAGCATTCTTGCAGCATCTAAAGCAGTAAATGTTGTCTAGCTGCTTCCTTAGAACTAAACCTGAGATGAGCTTCATGTTGTGTTAATTCTAGCTCTGAAATCTAGTGGATAGAAATAAGGACAAAGTCTGCAGTCTGTGAATAGTTGTAGGCAGATGTGCAAGACCCTCTGAGAGCCTCTGTTCCATGTCACTGGCATCAAGCTTTGATACCAGCCCTACACTTGCACTAACATATGTCTCTCCAACCAAATGCCCTGTGGACATGTAATAAATTACTAGATGGCAGGTTGCCAAGAGATAGCCAGCTGCTCGAGTATAAAGGTAGGCAGCACTTTCAAACCCCCTTCAGCGTAGCACTGAAATATTTTGTCCCTTCACACACTTAGGGAATAACATACAGTCCCATTTCAGAAATATCACTACCACTGTTGCATTTTGCATTTGTGGCAGTCTTGTCATCTTGACAATGGAAGTAATTCTAATATTCAAATTTATCTCCATGGATTATAACGCTGCCACACTTGCTTGTTGCTGAATCTGACTTTAATGAATTTTTGCTGTGAGAATTTAAAACCTGGATAAGATGATCCCTGGGCAAAGGATACCAGGTTCCACAAACATAGACAAAGCACACACTTGTCACAGATGTTGACAGGATACACTACTAAATGACTATGCAGATCTTGATGTTAATTTTAGAACTGGATATGTCAGAAGCTGTTCGCATTGCCTGACTTGACAT